TTTGTGTCTGGACCTAACTCAGGGACTGAGCCCCTAGGAATGCGTGTGCACCCCAGGCTCCTCTGTGGAGCCTGTCTTAGATACTGGGACCAAGCCCACCCAGGGAGGCAGGTTTGGGAGTCCGGGCGTGATGAGAAGTCCTCCAGCCTAGGTTATCCTGACTGGTGTCTCTGCCCTGTCCCCTCGCACCAGATAAACACTCACCCAAGACAGGCAGGGAGGAAAGCCTGCGAGAGCCCAGGCCAGCTGTCAGATATCCTGGATCTAGGACTGGCCTCTCGAGGGAGATGCCAGCAGTCACTGGCTCAGAAAGACAAGGGGCTGTGGACTTTGTCAAACGGAGTGAAATTCCGCCTGAGCGCACACACAGACACTCATGGTCCCTGAGGAGGAGCCTCCTTCCCGCAGGGTGGGAACGCCCCAGAAGGCGCTCACCCCTGATCTTCAGCCCCAGCCTTCCCCAGCATGGGCTCGGATCTGCCCACGACTCTGATGGTTAAGGACAAGGCATGGGTGTTGCCTTTGGGACTGCTGACGGTTATCGAACACATACTGCATTGTGACACACTCACTCCTCAATGCCGGTTCGGAGCCAAACCCTCTTGTGACTGGCTCCTCCAAGTGTAGTCTAATATTGTGAGGGTAAACCGTATTGTTTCAGATCACTCTCACTGCCGTGTGACATTACCTTGTGTAAAATATTCCAGAATTTACTCACTGTGCAGTTGATGGGTTTTTGGATAGTTTCCAATTTTCTACCATTATGGGTATTGCTGACAGACATTCGCATTCGTATCTTCTGGTGAACATACACTTTTCTATGTATCTATAACTATGTATACACGTGTATACAAACACATGTACACGGTGTGGGTTGTAGCTGGGTATCTCTGTAAGTCCCCATTTTCTAGACGAGAAAATTGAATCTAGAAAAAGTTGGCCCAGGAAATCAAGTTGCACCCTGAGCCTGATCCTGTCTGGCACTGGAGCCTAAGGGCTCTAACCACTGTGCTCGACTGCCTCCCAGAACATGGACTGTTTTAAAGTACATGATGGGGGCTGGCGCTGTGGCAACCCAGGTAAAGCCGCCGTCTGCAGTGCCAGCATCCCATGTGGGTGCCAGCTCAAGTCCTGGCTGCTCCACTTCCATCCAGCTCTCTGCTGTGGCCTGGGAAGGCAGTGGAGGATGGCCCAGTCCTTGGGCCCCTGCACCCACGTGGGAGACCAGGAGGAAGCTCTGGCTCCTGGCTTCGGATGGGCGCAGCTCTGGCCGTTGCCATCATTTGGGGAGTGAACCAGCGGATGGAACATCTCTCTCTCTCTCTCTGTCTCTCTGTCTCTCTGTCTCTCTCTCTGTAACTCTGTCTTTCAAATAAACAAAAACAAATCTTCAAAAACAAAAGAGTGCTGGCTGCTGTCACTGCAGGGGGTAAGAAGAAAGGAAGGTGCAGTCCCACAAGAAGGAAAACGAGGTGGCCGCTCCTCTCCTACATCACAGAGGGCTTCCTGGAGGAAGCAGCATTGGGAGAGGAAGCATGGGACGTGCAGGAGAAGGGGGTGCATCTCAGGCCAAGAGCTGTGGGGGCACAACAAGAGGGGGCCACCTGGAGGTCAAGGTCATCTCACCCATTCCCCCGTTGCCCATCCACCCACCAGTGGCTTCCAAATGTGTATTCCCAGTCCGCTCTTTCCTCTGATCTCCACAGCTGGACGTCAGACAGGCATCTCAGATCCAGCACAGCCCCAACAGGCCCCGATCCTCCATCCCACCCACCCGCACCCGCACACGCACACACACGAGCGTGCACACACCTGCACATACATGCACACACGTGCACACACACACACGCACAACGGCTTCTCTGCCAGGGTCTCCCGGTCCTGGGCGCCACCAGCCGCCCGCTTCCGTCGGCTGCCCTCCCCTCCTCACGTCCAGTCTGGGGACACAGCACCTCTGCTCGGTGGCTGCTTCGTGCCACCCCCTTGCTTCCACGCCCACCCCTGAGGAATCTGATCTTTATAAAATGCCCCCGACCCTCCCGGTACCCCTTTCTTGTCTCACGCCTTCGCCCTCCACAGCCCTGCAGAAAGGTGAGGTCCACGAGGAAAGGCCGTGCATTTTGTTCTCAGGCTCGGGTGCCTGGGTGGGTGTGGCCCAGAGTGGGCGTTCAGTCCATGTGTTCAAGTGCGTGAGACGAGCAGTGTCCTCCGCTGCTTCCGGTTCTCCGAGGGCGTCCCACTTGAGGAGGAGTCGTTGGCCTCCCGCCGGTGACTTACACGGCCTTCCCAGCCCCGGGCAGGCTTCTTCCCCTGCCACCTCTCTGTGCTGCGGTGGCTCTGGCCTCCTTTCTGTTCCTCACACAGGCTTAGGTTGTTCCAACCCCAGGGCCTTTGAACGTGCTGGAATCTCTGTCTGGACCGTTTCTGCCCCCGGGGGTAGTTTGTTTCCATAACACAAACAGGCCAGGATGCTGCCTGTGTGGTGAGGTACTGTGTCTCCAGCCAACAGCCCACAAGGACCTGAGTTCCACTGTTGCGGCGAGCTCGGAAGTGGGTCTGCTGAGGCTGACGCAGCCGCGTGAGTGAGCCTGGAAGCAGACCGTCCCCATGTTAAGCCTTGAGGTGACCGACTCCAGGCCCCCAGCTTGGTTTCTGCCCTGCGTGAGACCCTGAGCTGGAGGCTAAGCCACGCCCAGACTCCTGGCCCTCGGAATCTGTAGACAGAAATGTTTCTTGTTTAAGCCACTGAGTTTCACAGTCATTGTCATGCAGGAACCGATCCCCGATTCACCCAGAGACAGACTTCTAGGCTGTGTTCACAGCGGTAGCTGTGCCTGCACACTGGGGAACCCACAGACGTTAGCACTCACCCTCAGGAGCCTGCAACATCTCCTCCCACTCCCTCCCCTGTTTACGTTTCCACACAAGCAACACGTCACCCCATCGCGAGGGTTACCCCTTCTATTTTTCCCAGCGAGTCGCGGGCATCTCCTCGCATCACTGAATTGTCTTCAAAGCCTTCGTTCCTCTTGGCACCACAGGAGCAGACCCAATCACTTTTTCTTTTTTAAAGATTTATCAATTTGAAAGGCAGAGTTACAGAGAGGCAGAGGCAGAGGCAGAGAGAGAGAGAGAGAGAGAGAGAGAGAGAGGTCGGTCTTCCATCCACTGGTTCACTCCCCAGATGGCTGCAATGGCCCGAGCTGCGCCAATCTGAAGCCAGGAGCCAGGTGCTTCCTCCTGGTCTCCCACACGGGTACAGGGGCCTAAGCACTTGGGCCATCTTCTACTGCTTTCCCAGGCCATAGCAGAGAGCTGGATCAGAAGTGGGGCAGCTGCAGCTAGCGCTGTGGCACAGCAGGTTAAGCCCCAGCCTGCAGCGCCAGCATCCCATATGGGTACCTGTTCAACTCTCGGCTGCTCCACTTCTGATCCAGCTCTCTGCTATGGCCTGGGAAAGCAGTGGAAGATGGCCCAGGTCCTTGCCCTGCACCCATGTGGGAGACCCAGAAGAAACTCCTGGCTGCTGGCTTCAGATCAGCTCAGCTCTGCCCTTTGTGGTCATTTGAGGAGTGAACCAGTGTAATGGAAGAACTCTGGCTCTATTTCTCTCTGTAACTCTTTCAAATAAATAAAATAATTAAAAAAAAAAAAAAAGTGGAGCAGCTGGGACTTAAACCGGCACCCATACAGGATGCCGGTGCTGCAGTCAGACTCCATCCGCTACACGGCGCCGACCCCATCTCCTGATTGCTCACCGGAGTCCACAGCACTTCCTGGCTGTGTGACCTTGGACTTGTTACTGAACTCCCGTGTGCCTCGGGTTTCCACTCTGAGCAGTGAAGGTGACAACCATGCCTACTTCTTAGGCGAGCAGGGGTGTCCTTGGGTGACTCCAAGTGAGATTCGCACAGCTGCGCTCCCTCGGAAGCAGCAGGTGACGGCTCCTGCTGCATTCCTACCGGACGGAATTCCTGCCCCGGATTTTGGCCTGTTTCAGCCCTGGTTGTTGTGGGCATCTGGGGGCTGAACCGGCAGATGGGAGATCTTTGTCTCTCTCTCTTTCTGCCTTTTTTTTTTTTTTAAAGATTTTATTTATTTATTTGAAAGAATTACAGAGAGAGAAGTCTCTCATCCATTGGTTCACTCCCCCAAATGGCGGATCCGAAGCCAGGAGCCAGGAGCTTCTTCCGGGTCTCCCACACAGGTGCAGGGACCCAAGCACTTGGGCCATCTTCCACTGCTTTCCCAGGCCACAGCAGAGAGCTGGATCAGAAGAGGAGCAGCCGGGACTCAAACCGGTGCCCAAATGGGATGCCGGCACTGCAGGTTTTGGCTTTACCTGCTACGCCTCAGCGCTGACCCCGAAGAATGAAAACTTTTTAAAAAGTTCAGCATGAGCTGCTTGGGGGGTCTCTGTCCTGCCGGCACACGCTGCAGCATTTGAACTTGCCAGACTGTGATTGCTAAGGTGGATTCGTTCCACCACATGTGACCGTGAAAGTAGACCTCTCTGTACAGGCACAGCACCACTTATCCAAACTGTGTTCCAGATTTTGGATATTTTTCAGATTTGGGAATATTTGCATTTGCATAATCCGATCTCGGTGGGATGGGACCCAAGCCTAAACAAGAAATTCATTTATGTTTCCTATGCCCCTTGCACGCAGCACCTGTGCTTTGACTGAGACCTGTCCCGTGAGGTCGGGCGGGGGTTTCCCACGTGTGGCGTCTCGTTGGTGCGCTCCAAGCTTCGGATTCTGCAGCGCTTTGGGTCTCAGATTTGGGGAGCAGGGACGCTCGACCTGTACCAGGCGTGCAAATCCTGTCGGTTTTGTTCCTCTGGGGAACCCACACTTGGGCACGTCCACCTCATCTCCGGCCCTTGTCTTCCTGTCAGTAAAATGGGCAGATTGGATGAGGTGGTTTATGAGATTCTAGAATAGTCCCTCTTGTTTCAAAGACCCTCTGATGTCCACGGTACAGAGCACAACCATAGCTTTAAAAGACTCAAGCCAAGACGACCGGAAAACCCTTTATTTGCCAGCCATCACCTGGGCGCCGAGACCTGTGTTCGGCCTCCAGGAGCGCGTGTCGTACAAAACCCTGGGAGGAGCTCCGTGGTTTCTTATCCTGGGTCACCCGAGTGCTTATCCTGGTCTGAGCCCGAGACCCCCAGTCCTGCTCGTCCAGCTGCCATCAGCCCAGGCCAAGGGGCAGTGCGAGGAGCTGCCTCGAGGGCCTGGGGGTTCCCGGGGGGCTGGGGGCCGCACAGGGGTGGGGTGCAGCTGGAGGAGACCCAGACCTCACTGCTGTTTGGTTCAAGTCTAGGACCTGCCTGAAATAGCCTTGTCCCTGCCCTCGTTCTCCTCCGGCCCCTTCAGTGTGGCGTGGCGGGAAGCCACCCAGGGCCCACGGAGCAGGGCAGGGCAGGGCAGGGAGCCAGCCTCGTCCCAGCTCTGACTACTGGGGGAACAGTCAGCTTCCAGGCTTCTGCCCTCCCTCCCTCCTCTGGCTCGGCCTCCACATGGGTCCAGCAAGGGCTGGCTTCCGGAACTGCAGGGCTTTGGCCCCAGGAGTCACAACACAGCTCCCAGCATGCAGACCTGCTCCTGCCAGCCCCCATTTCCCGGGACTTCAGCCCCTAGGGCACCTGGGCCGGGATCCCATCAGCAGAGGAGAGGCTGTGTGACCTCGGACACATCACTGGTGTCTTGCTCGGCAGGGCGACTGTGAGGTGGCAGTGTGGGGGCCCGTCCCAGGGGAAGGACCACAGTGACACATCTTCTTCCCCAGTGAAGGCCTGGGCCAGCTGTCTGCGGAAGGGCGGCCTCCGGCAGCGATGGGGGAGAGGCCCATGTGCGGAGGCCACTCTGGGGAGCGGTCAGAAGTGGACTTGAGCCGAGGAGAGCAGTGGGAAGGGGCCGGGAGCCACGCCCAGCTCAAGCCAGTCTGCAGCCCAGACAGCAGGCTCACGCTCCCTGCCCCGCAGGCCAGCAGGCCCCAGAGCAGCTGACGGGTTGGGAGGACCGGCTCCCAGTTTTCCCGGAGCGGGGTCCTCCAGCCCAAGGGGCTGTGGAGGGGCGTGCGGGGCTGGGGGGCTGGGCAGGAGGGCCCCGAGCTTAGAAGAAGACCCCATGGGGCTGGAGCCAGCAGGCGAGGCAGCCAGGACAGGGCTAGGGGACACCTGGGCGGGAGGTGTGGTCGTCACATCAGGGCCAGAGGTGAGGGAGAGCGAAGGGGGCGGGGACAGGAAGAGGCCAGGGGAATCAAGAGGCCGAGGCCCTGGGGAGAGTTGCTGAGCTGTTGGCGAGCACGCTGGGGTCTGGAGCGGGCCCAGCTGCTTCTGGCAGTCACCTCCGTGGGGTGCAAGGCCCGGGGGCCGCTCAGCTTGGCTCCAGCAGCCGGGGGGCACAGGAGTCGGGCAGGAAGCACAAACCGCTGGGCACAGGTGCGTGTGCAGGTGCAGGGTTCGGTTCCACCACGCCAGCTCCGCCTGCAGGGCCTGGATTTCCTTCCGCAGGGCTTGGTTGTGTCTCTCCAAGAACTCATGCTGCTGAGGAGAAGCAGGTGGGCGGGGAGGGTGTGTCAGCCGGGACCAGAGGCCCTGCGCCCCGCCAGGCTGCTCCACTGCACCCCACTGTGTAAGTGTCTGAGCTGGGCCAGCCCCGCACTGCAGGCGCCCCTCCTGCGGCCTCACAGCGCCCACGCCTGCCTGCTCTCCTCCCACTGCTGGTCTCCGTGGCACCGTTCTCACCCGCGAGTCCCACCTGCCCCTGAACTGCTGTGGCCACCGACTGTCGCTAATCCTAGGTCGAAGCCCTTTAAAGAGATTCTCTCCTCTCCCTGGACCCAAACTCCCGTCATTGGATTGCAGGCCTGCTCAGAACTCCCGCTCGGACTCTGCTGAGCCCTCCTTCCTTTTGTTGATTGATTTATTTAGGTTTATTTATTTGTTTGAAAGGTAGAGAGACAGAGAGAGCTCCCATTCTTCGTGTGAGCAGCAGGGACCCAAGAACTTGGGCCGCGGTCAGCTGCCTCCCTCGTGCACTAGCGAGAGGCTGAATCAGAAGCAGAGCAGTCGAGACTCAAACGTGCGCTCAGATAAGGAAGGCAGGTGTCCCAGCTGGCAGCTGAACCTGTTATAGCACAGCCACCTCTCTTCTCCCTTGTTTAAAAAAAGAAACTGATTTTTTTGAGAGGCAGTGTGGGGAGCAACTCGGACTAGACTAAGTTACTGGAATTAAGACTTATTCTATGCATCTGCTCTCCCACAATATGGCGCTGGGAGAGGAGGAAACAGCTTCTACACAGTTCAACCAATAAACTGCAGGAGCTGCTCCTGATTGGAGGAGAGCAGCGTGCTCGGCGTGTGGGTAGCAGAGTTGGGATTGGTGGAAGAGGACTATAAAGGAGGAGAGAGACAACATGCACCAGGAACATCTAAGAGGAACATCTATCTGAAGGAACACCTGTGCAGCCCCCGAGAGAGCCGGCCGGGGGTGTGCCGCTCCCCCGCGGAAGTGGGGAATGTGGCAGGGGGAACTGCCCTTCCACGGAGGTGGAAGGGACGGTAGCCAACCCGGGAAGAACCAGCAGCAAACCCGGGGAGGGCCGAGCAGACAAAAGAACAACGCAGGGTCCTGTGTCGTTCCTCCACGAAGACGGGGAGCGACAAGGCAGAGAGATAGAAAGGGAGAGAGAGGGAGAAGGAGGGAGAGAGGGAGAGAGAGAGAGGGAGGGGGAGAGAGAGAGAGGGAGGGAGAGAGGGAGGGGGAGAGAGAGAGAGGGAGGGAGAGAGGGAGAGGGAGGGAGAGAGAGGGGGGGAGAGAGAGGGAGGGAGAGAGGAAGAGGGAGGGAGAGGGAGGGGGAGAGAGAGAGAGAAGGAGGGAGAGGGAGGGAGAGAGAGGGAGGGAGAGAGAGAGAGAGGGGGGTCTTTCATTCTTTCATGTGGGTAGCAGGGACTCAAGTATTTGAACCATCATCTGCTGCCTCGCTGGCACATCGGCAGGGCGCTGGATCAGAAGCGGAGCAGCCAGGACTTGCACTGGCTCCAAGATGGGAACTGGATATCCTAAGTGCTGGCTCAACCCCTGTGCCACAGCAGCCTGCCCTTCTTCCTTTAAAAAAATTTTTTTTCTCTTCTTACTTTTTCTTTGAAAGGCACACACACATGCGCGCGCGCGCACACACACACACACACAATCTCCCATCTGCCAGTTCAGTCCCCAAATGGCCACAGTGGCCAGGGCTGGGCCAGGCCAGAGCCAGGAGTCCAGGACCCACCAATCCAGATCTCCGCTGTGAGTCGCAGGGACTCAAGGACTTGGGCCATCGTCTGCTGCCTCCCAGGGTGTGCAGTAGCAGGAGGCTGGACCGGCCTAGCGCCAGGCACTCTGGCGGGGGACGTGGGCATCCCAAGACACCTGCCCCTCTCCTCCCTTCCGTCCCGCAGATGGACTTTGCTTCCCCGCCACGTTTCCTGTCTGCTGCCTGGACACACTTCCGGCTGCTCCCGCCCTCGCGCCGGCGCTGACACGGCCTTGTGTCACCCTGTCCCGGGCACCCCAGTCTGCTTCGTGCCCCTGGCTGGCTGAGGGCTGCGGCGGGATGCAGGGCACTGTTACAGGCAGACAGCACAGGTGTGCTCTGACTGCCGGACCCGAGCCAGCGCTGAGTCCTGTCCTGCCAAACGCCGCTTCTGAGAAGCCTCTGGGACGGTCGTCCCTCGTGCCGCGACGGACACCCAGCACGGGAATTCTCCAAAGGCTTCCACTGGGCTGCTCATTCACTGGCCACATCAGGACGACCCGGATGTCACTCCCGGGGAGGACCCCTTAGGCAAACGTCTGTCATCCCCCTCCACCACCCTGTCCCCTGCTTGCTTCTCCCCTCTCCCTGCTCCCCTCCCCCCGACTCGTCACCATCTGACATCCCGAATCCTTCGTGGATCATTTATCCGGCTGGCTGACTTCCCCATAAGAAAATGAGCCCTGTGGGGGTGGGGGCGGGGGCCGTCTGCAGTGTCGGCAGCTGTAGCTCCAGCCTTAAGAACTGCGCCTGTCACTCGGGGGACACTCAGTAGGCCCTCCGGGAAGGAACGAACAGATGACTGCATGGGCTGAGCCGGCGTCCCGAGCACCTGCCTCCCCCTTGCAGGGTCACGGCGCTATTCCCTTTCTTACAGAATCGTGTACCCTTAGAGAACTGTTCACCCTGGAGCCCGGCGCGAACTTCACCTCCTCATGGGTCACCCAGTGCCACGACGCATGTCCTAAGGACTTGATTCCACACCCCCAACCCCCATGAAGCCCCAATACCCGTGATGACTGTATTCAGAGACAGAGCATTTAGGGGGTGATTTAAGTCACCTGGAGCCAGGGGCGGGGAAGGAGGGGGCTGTGGTCCCCCCAAAGCCACGTGGTCCTGCTGTGGGGGGGGTGACTGGGTCCTGAGGGCTCCGTGGTCAGTGAGCAACGGATGAGTGGGTTGGTGGGCTCTTTTGGGCATGGCTTTGCCATACACGCAAGCTCTCTCTGGCAAGCTCTCTGGACATGTGGCACCCCCTCACGCCGTGCCCCAGCAGGAGGGCCCTCACCAGATGCTGAATAAACCTGCATTCTTTAGAAAATGCCCAGTGCGTGCCGCTCAGCTACAGCAAACGGCCGGAGACGGAGCGGGGCCCCACCTGGTGCAGGGCGTCCGCCTTGTCCGTGTGCTTCTGCCGGCTGCGCTGGGCGGCTGCCCGGTTTTTCTGTTTCTTCTTCAGCTGCCTCTGGAGCTCCTCGGGGTCCTGCAGGGCGCCAGGGAGAGGGCTCAGGGGGCCCCGCAGGGGCCTGTGCCCTCCGCCCTCGACAGCCATTGGCACAGCCAAGTCCTTGCCCTGAGTTAAGTCCCGAGGGTCCCTGTTCTCCACCAAGCCCCTGCTGCTCTCTCAGTACCACCTCCCCCCCCCCCCCCCCCGCATCACAGCGCTGCCAGCCGGGCCCCCGGCGCCGCTCACAGCAAGCCGGGAAGCTGGGGAGCCGAGACTCACACCCCAGGCTCTTACCAGCTGTGTTCCTCCGGGCAAGTGGCTCACTCTCCCTCAGAGGACGGGAGGCCAGCAGCCCGCGGGGCAGGCAGCAAAGCTCAGCTCTCCCCAGTCAAGGTCAGGGCCAGGGCCAGGGGCTTGTGCAGTTCCAGACGCCCATGCCTTGCTCAGACTCAAAGCTGAGAATTACTTACTCAACAAGCAGTTATTAAGCACCTACTTTGTGCCAGGCACTGAACTAGGGGGACACAGGCAAAACTTCCTGCCCTCAAGCGTTCCCGGTCCAGTGGGGCAGCAGCCTTGAGCGGACGCATGGAGGTGGACAGTGAGTCCGCTCAGAGAGGAGTGGACTCCCAGGTTGACAACGGCGACCGCCCCCTACCCTGGGCTCCACAGGACTTGGAAGAAACAGCTCATCCGAACCCCCAGTGCTCTGGAAACAGTGCCTGGGGGTTCACGCCCACAGCAGGCTCATCTCAGGTGCTGGGGGGCTGAGACCAGGAGCTGGGGGTGGGGGAAGGATGTGGTGAGGGGATGGAGGAAGCCTCCAAAGGAAACCATGAGCTGGGAACTGGAACAGGAGGGCGCGAGCTCCTGTAAGGGCAGGGAGGGGAACAGGTGGATGGGGATGGAGAAGGTGTGCAGGTGCCAAGTTCTAAAGCGGAGGCTGGACCTGCAGTGAGTGAGCAGGGGTGGAAGGCAAGGCCCAGAGAAGCCCAGGGTCACACAGTGCTCTGAACTGCATCCCTCACGGCCTGGACGCACGCCCCCCGCCCCCCTCCATCCCCGGACCCCTGTACTCACGGCCCCGGTCAGCGGCCCCTGGTCCCCATGGAGGTGCATGGCTTAAGCAGGCAGAGCAGAGCCTCCTGCAGTCCTGGGTGTCCCTTGGCAGCAGTGACCTGCCAGTGCCCTCTGGGGGCCAAGGAAGTGCAGGTCTTTAACCCCGGTGACCACTCCGCCCCCGCGAGCCCAGTTTCGGTTTCTCCTAAAGCCGCCGGCTGCTCAGAAGCCCTGGCTGGGGCTCACGTGGGAAGGATTTCCGGACATGAACTGGCCTTCCGCTGGGCCCCTTGTTCGGGAGGAGGACGGTGGAGAGGAGAAGAGGGACAAAGGTCAGGAGTGTGTGTGTGTGTGGGGGGGTGCTGCAGGAGGAGCCAGTCAGTGGGGGTCGAGGGCTCCTGGGGGGGTCTGAGACAGGACTCGCTGTGGTCTCTGAGCCGTATCTTCCTCTCTGCAGAGTGGAGTGGAAGTGGCACACGGAGCCAATCCAGGCTTGACATCAGAACTCAGCAGGGGGCTGGCGCCGCGGCTCACTAGGCTAATCCTCTGCCTTGCGGCGCCGGCACACCGGGTTCTAGTCCCGGTTGGGGCGCCAGATTCTGTCCCAGTTGCCCCTCTTCCAGGCCAGCTCTCTGCTGTGGCCCGGGAGTGCAGTGGAGGATGGCCCAAGTGCTTGGGCCCTGCACCCCATGGGAGACCAGGAGAAGCACCTGGCTCCTGCCATCGGATCAGCGCGGTGCGCCGGCCATGGCGGCCATTGGAGGGTGAACCAATGGCAAAGGAAGACCTTTCTCTCTGTCTCTCTCTCTCACTGTCCACTCTGCCTATCCAAAAACAAACAAACAAACAAACAAACAAACAAACAAAAAACCTCAGCAGGTTAGAGCAACTCCCCTGAGACCCTGCGAGCCCAAAGCAAGGGTAGGCAGCAGCCCCCACCCAGGACACGCAGCAAGGGAGAGCCCAGCTTCCAAGCCGAGTGATTGGGGCAGTCTCTCCTTTCTGTGCCTCTGTTTCCAAATCCGTAAAGTGGGAGCAGTGATGGTTCTGCCGTGAAGATGAAGGGAGCGAAGCCGGGGGGCCCCGAAGCAGGCCTGCGGCAGTGCAGTGAGGCCTCCACAAACATTCGCACTCGCGATGCGGAGGAGGTTCGAGCGGCACCATCCTACGATACAGAAAGGCGCGATCGCAGAGAGCGCTGAGCCACTGGGTAGAATTTCTGCAGGGTTTACGAATGCGGACGCGGAACTACAAACGCTCTTCAAGCAGCTCGTGGGAATCGTGTGTGCGCTGCGCAAAAACTAAGCACGTTTCAAAATTTATTGCACCAAAATTTTTTAAAAAATTTTTATTTATTATTTGCGAAATGAGAGAGAGAGAGAGAGAGAGAGAGAGAGAGAGAGAGAGAGATCCCATCTGCTGGTTCACTTCCCAGACGCCAGCAGCTGGGAGCTCAGAATTCAGTCGAGGTCTCCCACATGGGTGACAGAGATCCGATGACTTCAGCCACCACCCCTGGCTCCCACGGTCTGTATTAGCAGGAAGCTGGAGCCAGGAGCCAGCGCTGGGAGTGAAACCCGGGTCCTCTGATGTAGGACATCCGCATCCGAACCACGAGGCTGCACACCTGCTCCTTAACTTTTGATTTCATTTTCCAATGAACTTTTTGCAGTCCCCTTGTTTGCAATCACAGTATGAAAATATGCATGGGAGGGTGCCGGCGCCGTGGCTCACTTGGCTAATCCTCCACCTGCAGCGCCGGCAACACATGTGGGCGCCGGATTCTGTCCCGGTTGCTCCTCTTCCAGTCCAGCTCTCTGATGTGGCCCGGAAGGGCAGTGGAGGATGGCCCAAGTGCTTGGGCCCTGCACCCGCACCTGGCTCCTGGCTTCAGATTGGTGCAGCGTGCTGGCCGCAGCAGCCATTTAGGGGGTGAACCAACAGAAGGAAGACCTTTCTCTCTGTCTCTCTCACTGTCTAACTCTACCTGTCAAATAAATTAAAAAATTAAAAGAGAAAATATGCATGGGAGTGAGAAACACAAAATTCAGAGTGGTGGCAGGGGAGAGCTGGGCCAAGGCTTGCACGGGGACTTCAGTGGTGTCTTAAATGGGGCACAGGGCTCTCTCACGTGATGATGGTGCGCGCTCCGGAGTGCACCTGAAATGTTTCCTATTAACAGCTTCTGATGATCCCCCAAACCCTGAAGCCCAGACGAGCCTGCTGGTTGTGTGTCTGGGAGAGACCAGGCTTGCACGGGACCTCTGTCTGGGGGACAGAGGAGTGGTAACCCCCGTCCAGGACCAGCTTGCAGCGTGTGGGGTCCTAGGGTCGCAGCATCTTGGGGCTGGGCTTCGGTCCTTGGGGCCCACAGCTGAGCGTGCAGGATCACAAGGATGGCAAATACGGCGGATAGGATTCTCCGAGGCGCGGTGGTGGCCGAGGGCGCTGTGTTGAGGAGGTCAAGCCTGCCTTTGCACTTATTTAGAGTACTGCAATGGATTGGCAATGTCTGCCGGGTCGGGATTGATGCGTGATGTCTGCCATGAGCAGAGGTGTGGAACAGTGCGATCCCCTGCTCTCCTGGCACCAGCACAGAACGCACACTGGCTTAGAGGCGGAAGGCTTGGTTCACCAGGTGTTCCCGTGTGCACGCAGGGTTGACGGTGGAATCCTACCTGTTTTTCGGAGTCCTCTTGGGGAAGGGAAAGGAGATGAGCAAACCCAGCTCTTTCCGGCTGGGCTGCATTCACGGAGACACAGCCTGCACTCCAGGGTCCTGCACGAGGCTCAGGATTAGAAACGCTGGGGTGGGCATGTGGCCTTGGGCCCCACGGCTGGGCCTTGCCTCCTTGCACCGGGGCACAGGCTGAGTGGGACACCCTGCACACTGAGTTTGAACTCTATTTTTGCTTCCCAGACATGAGGAGAGCTGGGGGGTCTTGCCTGAGGCGGGCTCCTGCGGGGCTCATTAAGTCGGTCCGGGAGGTCCACAGGGAGGAACCTGGGAGGGCCTGTGCATGACGTAACCCCAAGGACACCCGCTGGAGGGGAGGGCCTGGGGCCGAGTGTCCCCACTGCAGCCCCTGTTCCGGGGCCTGAGCACCCCCACCCCACCCCCATCCTCCCCTCCACGCCCCGGCTGCCCTGAGAACAGAGCCTGGGCAGGTGTGGCTCCTTCCAGGGGCACAGTCCTGGAAGAAGCTTTTATGACTTGATCTTCCTGAGGGGGCGGCTGGGAACAGGCGTGGCAGGGAGGGAGGGGCCGGGGCGCCCGGGCAGCGTCTTCCCAGAAGTGGCGGGGTGAGGCTGCCCCAGAGGTGGCCGCCCCGAGTGACCCTCATGGAGTCTCAGCTCAGGCTGCCGGGACGCGATCCAGTAGGCTGGGCCCCGTGAGCGCCGGGCGCAGGTGCCCTCCCGTGGCAGAGAGGAGGCGCTGGCCCCTTTTCATCTTGTAGGGACCCTAATCCTGTTGCGGGGGTACCTTTCCCGTGACCTCATGGAGACCCAACTTCCTCCTGAAGACCCCACCTCCAGACCCCACCGCCCTGGAGCAGGTGGGTCTGGGCAGGGGGAGGGGTGTGGAGCACAAACACTGAGCCGTCACCGAGCGGGGGAGCACACCAGCAGCGCAGCGGGCGGCAGCACGGCCTTAAACGTGGCCCCCGCGTGGCAGACTGCTCAGCGAGTGGATGAATCCGAGCCGTGCGGGCCCCAGACTCCTGAGTAAGGAGCCTCCCCCAGCCAACCCCTCACTGCACCGGCGAGGAGAGGAGGCGTGGGGGGCGGGGGGCGGGGGGCGGGGGGCACGAGCCTCTCCCCAGCCAACCCCCTCACTGCACCGGCGAGGAGACGGAGGCGTGGGGGGCGGGGCCGCCAGGATGCGGTGATGCCCGCCCGAGGCCTTCCCACCGCTCCTGGGGCGGCTTAGACGCCCAGGGATGAGGGCCCCGCGGCTGGGCTCTCCCGCCACGCGCAGCCCTTGCTTTAGGCCACAGGTGCCGGGCGGCAGGCGGCCGCTGGTGGGGCAGGGGCTGCCTCCTCACTTCCATCCACAACCATGACCCCCCAGAGGGGTGTGGGCCACACCTGTTGAAACAGGAGGTCACTTCCTGCTGGGGGGGGGGGGGGGGCAGCTCTGCAGAGCCGGATCTCTGGGAGCGGGCGGGGTCTGGAATTTGCTCTCCCTCCACCTCTTCTGCCCATCTGAGGACAGGCGTTGCTGAAGGGCTTAGAACGGTGCCTGGGTCGCCAGTCCCTCGAATCCCCTGACCTTTTAACAAAGACACCCAGTAGATACCTGGTGAGGTTGTGTTCACACGAGCTGCTTTCCTGCTACGTATTTTAAGGAAAAATGATGGATGGCAAGAATGGAGAGGAGCTCTTTCCCAAATGAAATATCTTCTTTTAAAAAATTTTTACTTTATTTGAAAGAGTTAGGGAGGGAAGAGATGGTCCATCCACAGGTTCCATCCTCAAATGGCCACAACAGCCAGGGCTGGGCCAAAGCCAGGAGCCAGGAGCTTCTTCTGAGTCTCCCACGTGGGTGCAGGGGCCCCAGGATTGGGGCATCTTCCACTGCTTTTCCAGGCGCATTAGCAGGCAGCTGGCCGGGAAGGGGAGCAGCCGGGACCCAAACTAGCGCCCATATAGGATGCCGGCACTGCAGGCAGCGGTTTAAGCCATTATGCCACAGCGCCTGCCCTGAAATTTATTTAAAAAAAATTTTTGTTTATGTCTAAGGCAGACAGAGACAGAGCTCCCATGCACTGGGTCACTTAAAAAAAAAAAGATTTATTCATTTATTTGAAAGTCAGAGTTACACGGTGGGGGAGGGGGTCTTCCATCTGATGGTTCACTCCCCAGTTGGCCACAACGGTCAGAGCTGCACCAATCTGAAGCCAGGAGCCAGGAGCTTCTTCCAGGTCTCCCACACAGGTGCAGGGGCCCAAGGACTTGGGCCATCTTCTACTGCTTTCCCAGGCCACAGCAGAGAGCTGGATCGGAAGTGGAGCAGCCGGGTCTCAAACCGGCGCCCATATGGGATGCCAGCGCTTCAGGCCAGGGCATTAATCTGCTGCACCACAGCTTTGGCCCCACTTTTATTTTTTTAAAGATTATTTGAAAAGCAGAGTTGCAGAGAGAGAGAGAGAGAGAGAGAGAGAGAGAGAAAGAGAGAGAGAGAGAGAGAGAAAGAGAGAGAGAGAGAGAGAGAGAGAGAGAGAGAGGTCTTCTATATGCTTGTTCACTCCCCAAATGGCCACAACGGCCGGAGCTGGGCCTATCTGAAGCCAGGTGTCTCCTCCAGGTCCTCCATGCAGGTGCAGGGGCCCAAGCACTTGGGCCATCTTCCACTGCTTTCCCAGGCCACAGCAGAGAGCTGGATTGGAAGTGGAGCAGCCAAGACTTGAACTTGTGCCCATCTGTGTTTTTCCGGGTAGTCCAAGCCCCAGAGAGACCTGGCTCTGCCATGTGAGTGCTGTGACCTTGGCCAAGGCCCTCGCTTCTCTGGGCCTCGGTTTCCCCATCTGTGAACTGGTGAGAATCCACGGTGACAGAAGCCACTTTGGGGAGGTGGTCGCCGGTGAGCTCACGACGGGCTTGTCCCCTCTCTTGTCCCAGTGATTCTCTTTTTCATTGAAAGGGAGGGAGGGAGGGAGGGAGAGAGAGAGAGAGAGAGAGAATCTCCCTTCTTCTGGGTCACTCCTTAAATACCTGCAAAAAGCCTGCTGGGCCAGGCTGAAGTCAGAAGTCCAGAACTCAACCCAGGTTCTTTAGGGTTAGGGTTAGGGCTCCCACGTGGGTGGCAGGGACCCAAGTCCCTGAGCTACCACCTGCTGCCTCCCAGGGTGTGCATTAGCAGGAAGCTGGGATGGGGAGCGGAGTGGGGACTGACACCCAGACACTGCAATAGGGGGGTGGGGTCCCCACATGGAGTCGTTGCTGGACCACACTCACGCGACCCACAGAGAGCAGAGGACCACACGCAGAGGCTGGTGTGGGGGGACTGGCCAGCCGGGGTCATGGGACAAAGACCTGGAGTTCAGAGCTGGGGCGGAGCTGGGCGGGGCAGGAAGCCGGCAACTCGGGATGCAAGAGCCCAGCGGGCTCTGCCCTCACGGATCTCCCACCAGGGATGGCACCGAGGCGCCAAGTGGGGCTGCAGAGGACTCGAGATTGTCCAGCCTCCGTGTTGTCTAACTGGGGAAACTGAGGCTGAGCAAGAGGCGGGGACTTGGCCAAGGGCAAGGAGGCAGAGCTGGGTGTGCTGCAGCCTCACTTCCTCCCCTGCTGATCCAAGGTCTCGGGCCCCGGTCGGGGAATAGTGGGGACCCTGGGCACCCTCAGGAGGGTCAGCAGGAGCGGACTGAGCACCCTGATTTGCCCTTCGAGGCGCTCTGCCGGCGCCCAGTGTGACAGCAGTGCCCAGGGCCTGCAGGGAGATGAGCGAGCAAGTCCCAGAGCCAGCCCGGGCACCCGTGGACTGGACGCAGGTGCCTCCTCCAGTTTAGCTTCCACATCCAACCTTCCAGTTCTTTGTTTACTAATTAACAGGACAAACCCTACACTTGGGTATGCTGCCACCAAGTGCCGGCTGGCGCCCCTGACATGGACATGTGGTCCAAAAAAAAAAATTGAGACTTGATTCACAGACCTGTCGCACTGGAGAGAAGACCTGGTTTTCTCCCTTCTGAGGAGCAGGCACTCGGCCGAGCGGTGAAACGCTGGCATCCCACGTTGGGTTGAGTCCTGGCTCTGCTGCCAACCCCCGCTCCTGCTAATGCGCACCCTGGGGGGCAGCAGGTGGGGGCTCAAGTAGGTGGGTCCCTGCCTCCCACGTGGGAGCCTCAGGTTGACTTCTCAGACCCATGCACTCGATGGGCCTTCAGAAAGTTCACAGCTATTACTGGAAAATTATGCGTGGATTCCAAGCTTTTTGGCACCAGAATAAATTTAATCTTTTAATTCCATTTTCCATAAACTTTATGAAGTACCATCTATACGTCCACCGTCATACATAATTACAGCTTTGTATAGCTTCTCTTTTCCTTTTTGAAGATTTATTTATTTGAGTTACAGAGAGAGGGAGACAGACAGAGAGAGATCATCCATCCTCTGGTTCATTTTCCAAATGTCCACAATGGCCAGGGCTGGGCCAGGCCAAAGCCAGGAGCCTAGAGCGCCATCGAGGTCTCCCACGTGGGTGCAGGGGCCCAAGGACTTGGCCATCTTCCACCGCCTTCCCAGGGGCATTAGTAGAGAGCCGGATCCAAAGTGGAGCAGCCGGGACTCTGACGGGTGCTACATTGTACGGGATGTCTGGGGTTTTGTTAACAACTCCGTCTTCCTACCCCCGAGCAAATGAAGACACCGTGAGCAGCCCCACCCCACCCCAGCCCTTAGAAGCCCCTCCCCCGCCTGCTTTCTCGCTACAATGAGTCAGGTTAAACAGTTACTTCCTGGCTTCCCTCTTTCCACACAGTCTGGTTTCTTGGTTTTTGATGAATCTTCTCGGAAATCCTGCCCTGTGGCCCCGGGGACAGGCAGGACTTCAAGCCTCACATTCACACGGGTCTGGCGCGGGTGGGACCGCGGCGAACTCCAGCAGTGCAGAAGTGCTGGGGTCATCAAGGCCCTGCCCCGTGTGTGGCTGGATACACAGACACATAAACACTGCAGCCGAGGGGCCGGGGCTGCGGGGGAGGGGGCCCCGGAACACAGGCGTCTCCGAAAGCCCCCGAGCTGGCTTCTCCCAGGATGCCCCGAGAGCTCAGGGTGGACCAGGCTGCAGAAAGCCAGCGAGAGCCGGACCTCACTACCGGCACCATCCTCGTTATAACACCGAATTCTCCACCCGGGACAGAGGTGGCCGCCATCTCAACAGCGTGTGAGGAAACAGAGATGTGCGCTCTGGGGCTGGCGCTGTGGTGCAGCGGGTACAGCCGGCGTCTGCAGTGCCCGCATCCCACATGGGTGCTGGTTCGAGTCCCGGTGCTCCACTTCCCATCCGGCTCCCTGCACCCCCGTGGGAGCCCTGGATGGAGCTCCAGGACCCCGGCCATTGCAGCGGTTCGGGGAGTGAAGCAGTGGATGGAAGACCTCCCTCTCTCCCTCTCTCTCTCTCTCTCTCTCCCAAATAAGTGAGTCTTAGGTGTGGGTGGGAGGGGCCTTGCCCTACTGTTCTGCGGCACCCTGGGCCCGCCCCTGCCCCCTGCTATGAAAACCCTGGCAAACGGCTTCTCCAGGTGTGAGGGAACTCGGCCTCCACCGCCCCTTGTGGCCAAGCACAGCCCCCACCCCGAGAGCTCCTGCCGGTTATCTGTGCCGCCACAAGCGAATGGGCCTCCTGTGTCCACTGATGAACCCCCGGCCTGTGGTGCCCCCTCCTGATGCCGGCTCCCCAACTGCAGCACCGCTTGAGCCTCAGCTACTTGCCTTGAGCCAGGCAGTGGGTGTCGGCCCGAGAACTGGGACCCGCCACCCGCGTGGGCGACCGGGCTGGAGCTCCTGGCTTCTGGCTCTGGCCGGCCCAGACCAGGCTGCTGCAGCCATCTGGGGAGTGAACCAGCAGATCGAAGATGTCTCGCAAATAAATAAATAAATATTTTCTAAAAAATTAGCTAACCTAGATGGTGTTACCAGCTAATGCCCCAAGCAGCTCAAAATTTCTTGTGACTCAGTTCTATTTCAAGACCCTAAAATGTAGGCCCCCGCTGTGGCGTAGCGGGTAAAGCCTGCAGTGCCGCCATCCCACATGGGCGCCGGTTCTAGTCCCGGCTGCTCCACTTCCAATCCAGCTCCCTGCTATGGCCTGGGAAAGCAGCAGAAGGTGGCCCAAGTGCTAAGGCACCTGCACACATGTGGGAGACCCGGATGAAGCTCCTGGCTCAGCCCTGGCCATTGCGGCCACCTGGGGAATGAACTGACAGTTGGGAGATGTCTGTCTCTCCCCCTCTCTAACTCTCACCAAAATAAAAAATAAATAAACAAACAAACAACCTGTAAAACACCCGCTGTTCTCCAAGCTGTCTCTGGGGTCAGGGGCAACGCCACCCCCAGCCCCCTGGGCTGGACCGGCCTGAGGGCAAGGGCTACACCCGTGCAGACGGAGGGACGAGCACACAAAGGCGGCCGTCACCGTCTTCCCTGGATGCTGAGAGCGCTGCCCCAGAAGCTGCCCCCTCAGCACCGCGCGCGGCCTGTGCTGCTGCGTCTCTGCGCCTGCGCGGACTCGTTCCCGCCCATCACACGCGGTGAAGACGCCTGCCCTCTGCACACGCTGGGCGACGAATTTCCCAGAATCCACCAGGAGGCGGGCCGCAGAGGGACTGTCCCTGGCCCAGGGTCAGGATGCCCGAGGACCCAGCGTCCAGCGTGAAGGGACCGGCGCTCCGGCCCAAGTCGCTGACTCAGAGACCCCAGAGGGAAGTGGCCACCTGGAGCCCCTCCTCTCCAGCACCTTGCAAGTCAAAGAGCCATTTGGGAAAGCCAGGGCAGGGAACGCTGCCCGAGGAGCTGCCCCCAGGAGGGGCGGGAGGGGCGGCGTCAGGCTGCGCTGAGATCTGTGAGCCGGGGCTGGGGACCCCGGCCGGCCTTCCTGGGTTCCTGGGTCACGGGGGCGCCGCCCTTTGACCTGGGGTCAGAGAGCGGACAGGAACAGGTGGGAAGTGGCCGGGGACTCCGTGCTGCGGCTTCACCTTAGCCGCAAGAGTGCCTGGGGGAAGAGGAACTGCTGGGGGAGGCACTGGGGCGGGTGGGGGGGGGGGGCTGGACGCAATGACGGGGGATGGGCAGCGCTCAACCTCCCAGACCGAGGGAAAGCGCTGCCCCCGCACAGGGCCCCTGAGGAAGAGGAGCTCGCTAGCTGCACAGGAAAGAGGACAGGGCCGCCTCTGGCAGCGAGCCCGGGCATGGACCCTGAGAACCTACAAACCCCCACCCCACTCCACGGCAGCCAGTGCACGCGCCCCTGCCGGCCAGCGCTGCCCACACGGGGCTGGTGGTGAGCCCGGGGCTGGGGCTTCCCTCCGTCAGGGCCCGCGAGGGGAAGGAGGCGGGGAAGATGTGCGTGTGCCCCCCCCCCCCAGCTGTGCAGGTGGAGGGGCCGCTGGCTTCCTGCTCACAACCCTACCTGGGCCGACAGGCAGGCGGAGAAGTCCGCCCGCTAGCCAAGGCAGCCCGGCTGGCAGGCGGCTGCCAACCAAGCTGACACGGAGCAGGGGGGCCAGCCGGCAATCGTGCAGTGCTGGCCCCAAACTGGGAGCCCCACGTACCACAGGGCCCGCGGAGAAGGGGCCGTCACAGGACCACGGCTGCAAAGGCAGGTGAGGACGGGGCTGAGGGCCAGCAGGGGCCAGGAGAACCCGCTCTGCCCTCCTCGGGAGGCGGGGCACTTCCGGGACCCCGCAGGTCAGGGAAGGCAGGCGGCTCCACGCCTGTCCCAGTGCACACCCCTTCCGAGGTTGGCTGGTGCAACAGGTAAAGCCACCGCCTGTGACGCCAGCATCCCACATGGGTGCCGGTTTGAGTCCTGGCTGCTCCACCTCCAATCCAGTTCCCTGATGGCCTGGGAAAAGCAGCAGCAGATGACCCAAGTGCTTGGACCCTTGCCACCCACTTGGGAGACTCAGATGGAGTTCCAAGCTCCTGGCCTCAACCCTGGCCCAGCCCTGCCATTGTGGCCATCTGGGCAGTGAACCAGTTGATGGAAGATCTCTTTAATTCTGCCTTTCAAATAAACAAACTAAATCAGAAGGAGGAGGAGGAAGGGGAGGAAGGAGGAGGAGGAAGGGGAGGAAGAGGAGGAAGAAGAAGAGGAGGAAGAAGAGGAGGAGGAAGAGGAGGAGGAAGAGGAAGGGGAGGAAGAGGAGGAGGAGGAAGAGGAGAAGGAGGAGGAGGAAGAAGAGGAGGAGGAAGAGGAAGGGGAGGAAGAGGAGGAGGAGGAAGAGGAGAAGGAGGAGGAGGAAGAGGAGGAGGAAGAGGAAGGGGAGGAAGAGGAGGAGGAAGAGGACGAGGAAGAGGACGAGGAAGAGGACGAGGAGGAAGAGAAATTGGCTGCCGGTGCTGAGGCCAATCCCTCTACCTCGGTGGCGATACCGTTCAGGGTTTCAACACCAAGATGGGGCAGGTGACGAGGACAGGAAGATGTGAGGGCAGGCGCTTCACTGGCGGCTGCTCTCCACTCTGCCGCAAGGTGACCCAGGAGGACAAGGGACGCCACTGCCAGGGACCAACCAGCTAAGGGAGGATCTAACCCATGGGTACTGCGGGCAGGGGGCCTTGAGAAAGGGAATGCCCGGATGTCCCCAGACGCGAGAGGGAGGGAGGCAGGGCTCACGGCAAACATGACTTAAAAAAAAAGAACAGTTTATTTGAAAGGCACAGTGACAGAGAGGGAGACAAAGAGAAAGAGAGAGCTTCCATCTGCTGGTTCACTCCTCCAATGGGTGCAACGCCCAGGGCTGGGCCAGGTCAAAGCCAGGAGCCTGGAACCCCACCCGGGTCCCCAGCGCGGGTGGCAGTGGCCGTCATCTGCTGCTTTCCCAGGCACACCAGCAGGAAGCTGGATTCAAAGTGGAGCAGCCAGGACTCAAACCGGCACTCTGATACAGGATGTCGGTGTCGCGAGCAGCGGCTGCACCTGCTGTGCCACGATGCCAGCCCCCAAACCTGATTCCTTTAACAAGATCGGCAGGGCCAGGGCGCTCCCCAACTGGCTCCTTGCTGGGTAAAATCCTAATCTTCCTGGGAGCCCTGGCTGCCCTTGAGGTAGAAGGGGAGAAAGGCTGGGTTGACGGCTAAGAGGGGCTAAGCAGGAGTGGAATGGGGAAGGAGTGTCGGGGAAGGCGGCAGAGAGACTTTCGGAGCCTCAGATCTGTGCAGGGGGTTCTCTTTTTTTTTTTAATTTTTTAAAAATTTATTTATTTACTTGAAAGTCAGAGTTACAGAGAGAGAGAGAAGGAGAGGCAGAGAGAGAGGACTTCAATCTGCTGGTTCACTCTCCAGATGGCCACATCAGCCGGAGCTGCACGGATCCGAAGCCAGGAGCCAGGAGCTTCTTCCAGGTCTCCTACGCAGATGCAGAGGCCCAAGGACTTGGGCCATCTTCTACTGCTTTCCCAGGCCATAGCAGAGAGCTGGATCAGAAGAGGAGCAGCCGGATCTCAACCAGCGCCCACATGGGATGCCAGCACTGCAGGCGGTGGCTTTACCCGCTACACCACAGTGCTGACCCCTGAAGTGGGTTCTCAATTTCTGCCTCCCTCACTTCTGTGGGTCCCCGAGGGGCCCAGCCCACTCCTGGAAGAAACCTGCCAACTAACTCGGGTGCTACTGTGTATTTAAGTCAAGACAAAGCGGAAGTGGGCGTCCCAGGGAGCTGGGGGAGGGGTCCTCAGCTCTCCTCTGGAGGCCACTCAGGAAGGTATCCTAGCTCCAGCTGATCCGCAGACACGGGCCCAGGGTCAGGTGGACAGGCTGGCAGTGCCCGACCTGGAACGAGGATCCTAGGGCAAACTGACCGCGGGCCCCGGGATAAGCAATACCCTCTGAGACTTGCGGCAGCAGCCGGGATCTCTCCAGCTTCCCAAGAAACGTGGACTTGGGGGACTGAGAGGGAGGGAGGCAGAGATCCTCCACCGCTCCTCCACCCCCCAAACAGCTACCACAGCCAGGACCAGGCTGAGGCCAGGGGCCGTGACGCCACCAGGGCCTCCCGCAGGGAGGGGCCCAAGCGTGCAGACAACCTTGCGCTGCCTTCCCAGGGAAATCCTAGGGGAGTGGGGGAGGACAGCTGGGGCTGGGACTGGCGCTCCCCCATGGGATGCGGTATTGCAAGCTGCGCCCTCACCCGCTGTGCCACAGTGTCAGCCCTGTAAAAACAAAAGTTTCTTGCCACTTTGGAGCCCTGGAGATGGGCTTGTCACAGCCATACCCGTCAGGAGGCAGTCAGATGAGAGTGGGCGTGCCCAGGACCGGAAGGCCTCCATCCACGGCGCCCGCCCCTGCCTCCCGTCGCCACTGTGACAGGCAGCCCGTCTCAGGCTGCTGCGGGCACGAAGGGCGCATCCCCGGGGCCACGACCCACTCCCCTTCCAGAACGCACCAGGAAGTGCGGCACTGGCGGCTGTTCTGCCGCAGGGTTTAAAAGCTACAGCTTTCAGGAACGTCTTGAGGAGTGCTCAGAGGGGCACAGATGCGGGAACAGTCCCGCAGCACAGGGGGGTGCTACCGCTGGCCCCTCAAAGGGGGCTCCCAGTAACACCATTCAAACCACAAATCAGGGTGGGTGTTTGGCCTGGCAGTTAGACCGTGGGCAGAGGACCTGGGTTCAAGTCCCAGCTCTGCTCCCAATTCCAGCTTCTTGCTAATGGAGACCCTGGGGGGCCAGGTCCCTGCCACCCATGTGGGAGACCTGGATGGAGTCCCTGGCTCCTAACTTGCACCCTGGCCTGTCCCCAGCTACTGGCCACTTGAGGAGGCAGCAGGTGCATGGAAGATCACTCTCTGGGTCTCTGCCTCTCAAACAAGAGATCAAAATTTTGTATGTAAATAACGGGTAAGAGCCTTAAGTATCTGGCAGAGAGAGGACGAATGGTTTCAAGAGAAAAGGCACAAAACCCTAAAGAAACTGTGACGTGCACGGCTTAAGACACCCCAAGGACCAGGGCGCCTCCCCAGGAACATGAACTGGCCACCGATGAATCGGCTCCACCCTACGCCAGGAAAGACTTACGGGGACTCCTGGCTACAGCCGGCTTCTGGGGCATTGAAAGGAGAGGACACTGGCCCTGTGCATGAGATGAACGCAGCGGGGCCTCTAAATGCCGGCACCAGATGCTGTAGACAGCCTGGCCACACTCACAGCAGCGCCGGGCCCTGCGGGCAGCGGCAGCCACCTGTCTGCTGATTAGAGCAGCAGAAATGTGAATGACCCGACGACCCCCAGCTGCCTGCACCCCATACCTGTGGCCGGTGCTATGAAAGAAGAGGGCACCACGGGCGGGCGGGAGCCCGGAGGCTGCCGTACCAAGTCTCGCTGCGGGATCGCTGGCCATCACCCCACAGCCCTGCCTCGGGCAGCCAGCGGCCGGAGGCACAGACCCGGAGCCTCAGGTGGCCAAGACCTCAGGACCGAGCCTCTGCCTGGTGCAGGGTGGCCCATGGGCGGCAGCAGTGTGCAGGTCGGTGGCCAGCGGAGGGCCGGGTATGAGCTGCGTCTTCACACAGAAGTGCTGAAGCCAGGACTCTCTGTCCAGCAACCTCTTCACCAAAGGCGGGGCTCCAGAGCTGGGAGCAGGAAACTGATGGCCACACTGACCGGTGCCTGCTCCCGGAAGGAGAGAGGGCTCCTCAGTGCTCGGGCACGCGTGGTACACGTGCGAGGACACGCTCGGGGCATGCACAGTAAACACGTAAGGACACGCTCGGGGCACATGCGGTACACGGGTGAGGACACGCTCAGGGAACACGCAGTACACAGGTGAGGACACACTCGGGGCATGTGCAGTAAACAGGTGAGGGCATGCACGGGGGGCAGGTGTTGAAGCCCCACTCACAATACCCACATCCCAGGGTTCGAGCCCCAGCTACTCCACTTCCAACCCAGTTTCCTGCTGACGCGCTGGGGAAGGCAGTGCGTGACGCTCGAAAGGGTTAGGTCCTTGCCACCCACGCGAGGGCCTGGATGGCCTTCCAGGCTCCTGATTTTGGCCTGGTCCAGCCCTGTCTGTTGTGGGCACTTGGGGAGTGAACCAGCAGACGGAAGCTCTTTCTCTCTCTCTCTCCTCTGTCACTTTGCTTTTCAAATAAATAGGTACATGTTTTTCAAACCGCGCTCATGCTACTACAGGCTGTAGAGACGTAAAGCGCAGGGGACGTGGCAGTGACGAGAGGAGCAAGCTGGCCGAGGCCGCTGCAGGGCTGACCGCGCTGGAGGCCCCCAGCCCCTCACAGCTCTTCCCTGCTCCTCTGAGCCCAGGCCGGACTCTCAGCAGGGCTCCCCGGAAGGCCAGGGAGGGTTTTCATAGGACCTGGGCTGGGGTGTGGCCGGCAGCGGGGAGAGAGGATGGCCGCCCTGGCACCCAGGCTGGGCGGTGAAGCCGTCCAGGAAGGCTGCCTGCAGGGCCCGGAGCCTCGGGGACGGAGGAGCTGACTGACCCTCCGGCAGGACAAGGCGCCGCTGCCTCCCGACCCACGGCGGGCGGGGGCGGGGGCGGGGACGTGCTCCGTGGGTATTCTTTCAATCAGAATGGGACTGGGACTTGCACTTCTCATTTAGCACCTGCCCGCCCCTCCACCGGCTCCTCCGTGGACTCTACCCCACGGCCTGGGCAACCTCCCCCACTGGCTGCTCCGAACTCACTGGTCATCTGTGAGGGCAGACCCCAGGCGGGTCCCGCGGCCTTGGCATTCCCTGTTCTGGCCTCGGCTGGGGTCAGAGCCTTCGCGCTCCTTTTCTTCCCCTGTGTGCGCCTGATGCAGGGAAAATGCGGTCCACCCCAGGCGCCCACGCGGGCGCCCCGCCGTCTCCACCTGCCCGCAACCACCTCCCGAGGACGGGAAAATCCAGCTCCTTCCAGACCCCTCCCTGGCGAGGCGAACTCCACGCAGCCGCCTTCGGCTAGATCGGAGTTCAAACCTCACCCTTAAACTCTCTGGACTCCACAAAAAAGGAGATGAACCCCTCGGGGCCGCAGTGCGCAGAGCCGGGACACATGCGTGGCCACGCGCGGTCAGCATCTAGCACACGCCAGCCCCTGTGACAAGGGCCTCGGTGGGACCAGACGATCCTCGGGGCAGGGCTGTGCCCCCGACCCGAAATGACCAGGGCTCAGATGCAAAGAAGCCCCCCGCCCCGCACATCTCGAAATGGCCCCCAGGGGGCACTTTCGCCCCGGAGAAGCACGGGTCCTCTTCCCACCGGAGCCGGAGGAGAGGAAAGCCCCATTATCTCCTCCGACACCGGCGGGGCTGGGGGGACGGCAGGATCCACACCGTGTTTCCTAACACAGGGCCTTTGGCGACCCCGGCCACGCTCAACACCCGCGGGGCTCTTGGTTCTGACCCCCGACCCATCAAGACGCAACGGTTCCCGTGGCTGGCCGAGGCCTTGGGTGCTCGGAGGAAGATGGGGACTTCGCTCTCAGCCCCCGGGACGCGAAGGGTTAAGGCGGGCGGCGCCGCAGAAGCCCCCCCGCACCGCCGCAGCGGCTCCCGCCGGCCGCCGGGCAGTCACGTGGGGCGAGGGCGGGCCCACGGGAGGCAGCAGCCAATAGGCTGCGCTGTCGTTGGGCGTGATAGCCAATAGGATCAGGGAGCGGGGGCCCGGGACTAGGAAGAGACGGCAGCCGGGAGGGGGCTCCGGGACTATGGGGCTTCTGACCATTCTGAAGAAGATGAAGCAGAAAGAGCGGGAGCTGCGACTGCTCATGCTGTATCCTCCCGGGGGCCGGAGCCGCGGGGTGGCGGGCGCCCTGCCGGGTGGGCGGCGCCAGGGTGCGCGGACGCTCGCCCGTCCCAACTGCCCATTGTGCGTCACGCACGTGGGCCCTACCAATTGCTCCCGGCGGGGGGCCGCGAGGAGGCCGTACCACTGGCTCGGGGCGGGGGGCTCCGTTCCGAAGGCCCAAGGTGTGGGCCTGAAGCCGAAGCGCCCGGACACGGCGTCCCGAATGGAAGGGGGAGGTGGGGCCCGGAGGTGACTGGACGTCGCCGTCCGTCGGGCGGGACGGAGCTGGGGGCCCCTGGCCTCCCCGGCTCTGACCTCCCACCCCCCCGCGGCCTGTCCGAGGGTGCCGGGCCCCGACCCCGCCCTCGAGTTCGAAATCCCAGGGGCGAGCGGGCCCCGCCCTCGGCTCGCGCGGCCGGGGGCGTGGACGCCGCGGGTCGTTTCGTGCTTGTATCCGACCGTCCGTCTCTGCTGCGGTCACCCGTTGCTGTCCCCGGGCCGAGGGCTCGCAGGCCCTGGCTGGGGAGAGGAGACCCTAATGCGTGCATCTGTGTCGGGTGTAAAGAGCCCCGGGAAAGGCCCAGGGAGCTGAGCGCCACTGTGTGCGCGCCAGCGTCCTAGGGGCTGGGGTAACACAGCAAAGCAGACCCTGCGTGGCGGAACGCTGTAATGCAGGGAGGAGCAGGGTGCTGAGTGGCCCGTGCTCGGAGGACCAGGCTCGCAGAGTGACAGCTGAACACGCAGAGCTGGGGGAGGTGGGCTGGGGGGGGGGCAAAGGGAGCAGGTGCGCCCAGAGGGGACCCCGGAGCCGCCTCCCCTGGGGCCTTCTGCTTCCTGACAGTAAGGGGTGCAGAGCACGAGCTGAGGTTGGGGAGAGAGACTGGTGGCTTGGGCCAGGGTGTGAGCGGTGAGATCCTGAAAGGGGGGGGGGGGGGGACGTTCCGCCCCACTCCCCGCCCCTGGTGTCAGGTTGGAGAAGTGAGGCCCGACTGCCAGGTTCCTGGTGCGCGCAGTTACAAGGACCAGGGGCCATTGGCCGAGGCTGGGAGGAGCCGGGGAGGAGCGCAGGGGCTGGGAGGCAGAGTTCTGTTCTCCCCTGAGAGAGGCCCCAGACTTCCCGGGAAGGGCAGGTGGACAGGTGCAGGTCGGGGGTCTGTGGAGGACACCGCCCAGGGAGTGTATGCAGGCCAGAGGTTGGAGGAGGACCAGGAGCTGGGGGTGGGGGCCCCTGGGACTCACCTTGGCGAGCAGGAGCCAGAGGCTGGTGGGTGTGGTTCAAGGATGAGGGAGAAGGCAGGGACTGGCCGGGTGGACAGGAGCTGCCTGCAGGAGGAGCTGCCTGTGAGTGAGGAATGAGATGGGGGAGGGGCTGAGAGCCACAGCGGGGTCGTCAGCTGATTTTCAGGGCCTGGGCCTGGGCTCAGCAGAGGCGCTGTCCTCCAGTTTGTGGCCTTGGGTCACTCAAGGTCGGGAGAGAGACGGCTGAGTCGGGGACCTGCCCGGCCACAGCCCCCTTGCTCTGCCAGGTACACCGAGCTGTGGGAATGGCTCCTCTGCTGTGAGCTCACACATCCATTTGCATGCATTTGGAATATTCACACATTCATTTGCATGTATTTGGAATATTCACACATTCATTTGCATGCATTTGGAATATTCACACATCCATTTGCATGCATTTGGAATATTCCAGAAGCAGGTGAGAGTGTGGCTGTCCCCCGGGGCCTTGGCAAAGCCGGTTATTTGGATTTGGGGCCTTGGCTCAGGGCAAGTAGAGTGCCGGCCTGGGAGGGAGTGGCCTTGGTCCACCAGGACCCACGCCGAGGAGGGCCCGGCCAGAGGAGATGCCTGATGCCGCCGCGCCTTTCAGGGGCCAGCGTGGGCACCACTCATCTTGGCACAGGCGGGGAGCGGTCGGTCGGCCCTCGGGACGCAGGGATGCGGGGACTTCCTTAACCGGGCGCGCCGCAGCGGCCTGGACAATGCCGGCAAAACCACGATCCTCAAGAAGTTCAACGGGGAGGACGTGGACACCGTCTCCCCCACGCTGGGCTTCAACATCAAGACCCTGGAGCACCGCGGGTGGGTGAGCAGGGCCCCGGCAGGGCCCGGAGCCGCAGAGCGGCCTGGCTCATCCGCTGCCGCCTCCCTCCCCTGCGCAGGTTCAAGCTGAACATCTGGGACGTGGGCGGCCAGAAGTCCCTGCGCTCCTACTGGCGGAACTACTTCGAGAGCACCGATGGCCTCATCTGGGTGGTGGACAGCGCTGACCGCCAGCGCATGCAGGACTGCCTGCGGGAGCTCCAGAGCCTGCTGGTGGAGGAGGTGCACGCCGGGGCCGGGGAGGGGGTGGGGGGGTGTGCGCGAGGGGCTGGTGGAGGAGGTGCACGCCGGGGAGGGGGTGGGGGGGTGTGCGCGAGGGGCTGGTGGAGGAGGTGCACGCCGGGGCCGGGGAGGGGGTGGGGGGGTGTGCGCGAGGGGCTGGTGGAGGAGGTGCACGCCGGGGCCGGGCAGGGGGTGGGGGGGTGTGCGCGAGGGGCTGGTGGAGGAGGTGCCCGCCGGGGCCGGGGAGGGGGTGGGGGGGTGTGCGCGAGGGGCTGGTGGAGGAGGTGCCCGCCGGGGCCGGGGAGGGGGTGGGGGGGTGTGCGCGAGGGGCTGGTGGAGGAGGTGCACGCCGGGGCCGGGCAGGGGGTGGGGGGGTGTGCGCGAGGGGCTGGTGGAGGAGGTGCACGCCGGGGCCGGGCAGGGGGTGGGGGGGTGTGCGCGAGGGGCTGGTGGAGGAGGTGCACGCCGGGGCCGGGCAGGGGGTGGGGGGGTGTGCGCGAGGGGCTGGTGGAGGAGGTGCACGCCGGGGCCGGGCAGGGGGTGGGGGGGTGTGCGCGAGGGGCTGGTGGAGGAGGTGCACGCCGGGGCCGGGAGGGCTGGGGGTGTGTCTGCATGCGCACAGCGCTGGTGGGGCGTGGAGAGAGGCTGCTGGCCGGGGGCGGCCCTCCTCTGTGTACACACATGTCGGGTGTGTGGACACCTTTCTCCGCGGGCACCCAGAGGGACGCCTGGGACAGACCTGTTCCTGCACCGCACCCCACCACGGGAGGCCCCTGGTGCCATTCTGTGCACTGCGACCTGGGCTCCTGACCCCCGAGGGCCGCCGGTTTTCTCCTCTGAGCTTCAGCGTCTGCCCTGAAGCAGGCATGACGTCACCCACAGGACTGGGCTTAGCGAGTGAGGCTCTGGGGGGCGGGGGTGGGGCGCCCTACTGTGTGCCCTCAGGAGAGCCACCTAACCGCTCACTTCCACATCCCGAGATGATCTTTGAAAGCAGAAAGATCTACTTTATGTTATTTGAAAGAGAGGGAGAGACAGAGAGAAAGATCTTCCATCGCTGGTTCACTCCCAGATGGCTGCAGTGGTTGGAGCTGGGCCAGGCTGAAGCCGGGAGCCTGGAGCTCCATCCGGGCCTCCCGCGTGGGTGGCAGGAGCCCCAGCACTTGGGCCGTCCTCTGCTGCCTTCCCAGGCGCGTTAGCAGGGGGCTGGACCGGAAGCGGAGCAGCCGGGACCCTAACCAGCGCTCCCATGTCGGATGCTGGCGTCCCAGGCAGCAGCTTTACCCAGTGCCGGCCTCCCGAGCAGTTTTCTTTAAAACGGTAGATTTACAGAAGAGTTGAGGAGCTGGAGCCCTCACCCCTTCATAGCTCGCGTGGTGCGAACATCTTCCGTAACCCGGTCATCTGTCAGCCAGGAGCGGAAGGCTGGGGACGGCGGTCCTGTCCCTGCTGTTGGACTCAGCCTCGCGCCGCACTGCACGCAGCTGAGAGCCAGGGCTCCTGGGGAGTGGAAAGGCAGATGTTGGGGGGGGGGGCACAGATCATGGCCGGCAGACTCTGAGCGCACGCCCCACAGGCCAAGGCCTACAGGGTGAGGGCGATGGTGTGGAGGACGCCCGGGGAAGACGCGGGTGGAAATATCTGGAATCAGAGGCAGAGTGAGGCCTGCTGGGAGTGGCACGTGAAGGGGGAAGGCAGCCTGCGGGGTCTCTGCGGGTCAGACCATCGGAACCACAAAGAGGGCCAAGGATGGTCTTGTCGCGGGGTCTCTGCAGGTCAGACCACCGGAACCACGGGGGGGGGGGGGCAGGATCGTTCTGTCCTGGGGTCTGTGGGGTCTCTGTGGGTCAGACCACCAGAACCACAGGGGGGCCAAGGATGGTCTTGTCCCGGGGGTCCACGGGGTCTCTGCGGGTCAGACCATGGGAGCCACAGGGGGGACCAGGATTGTTCTGTCCCGGAGTCTGCCGGGTCTCTGCGGGTCAGACCACCGGAACCACGGAGGGGGCCAAGGATGGTCTTGTCCTGGGGGTCCACGGGGTCTCTGCGGGTCAGACCACCGGAACCACAGAGGGGCTCAGGATGGTCTTGTCCCGGGGTCTGCGGGGTCTCTGCGGGTCAGACCATCGGAACCAAAGGGGGGACCAGGATCCTCTTGTCCTCGGGGGTCCACGGGGTCTCTGCGGGTCAGACCATGGGAACCACAGGGCCCTAGGATGGTCTTGTCCTGGGGTCTGCGGGGGTCTCTGGAGGTCAGACCATCAGAACCACAGAGGGGCCCAGGATCCTCTTGTCCTGGATTACAAAAGAGGAAACAGGAACTGGGAGTGAGGGGCCCGCTGCCCCTCCCACCCGGGCCGCTCCCGCCCCCACAGCCGCTCTGGGCCAGTGGAGGAGGGGGCTGCCGGCCCTTGAGCCCCGTCCCCTCTCTGCCCCGCAGCGACTGGCCGGAGCGACCCTCCTGATCTTTGCCAATAAGCAGGACCTGCCGGGAGCGCTGTCCTCCAATGCGATTCGCGAGGTGAGTGCGGGGCTCACGGGACAGGGAGGCGGGCGTCTCGCCAGGTGTTGGGTGGCATTTGTGAGCCCCTGCTGTGTGGCAGGTGAGGCGTAGGGGTGGTGCCAGGGCCTGTTAGTTACCGCACAGGCGGGCACCCGGCACCCTCCGCCCCGGGGAGCTCCCTTTGCCACGGCGGCCCCCTGCTCTCGCTGGCCAGGACCGCCTGACCCCGGGGATGAGAAAGCCGGGTTAGAAACCGGTTCTGCCTCGCCGGGCTGTGTGACCTTGGGGGCCTGTGGAGCGTCTGAGCTTTGGTTCTCCTGGGCGTCCGAGGCCTCGGAAGCAGAGGACGCGCGGGGGGTCCCCAGCAGGATGCCTGGGACCTGGCGGACGCCGCAGCAGGGGGTGGCACTGCCCAGGGAGCTCTCCCCCCCGGGGGGGGGGCCCCTTGCCAGGGCCTGGGCGGCTCCCTGGGTGGGGAGACCCGGGCTGCCCCCACCGGTACTTCCGCCCCGCCAGGCCCTGGAGCTGGACTCCATCCGCAGCCACCACTGGTGCATCCAGGGCTGCAGCGCGGTGACCGGGGAGAACCTGCTGTGCGGCGTGGACTGGCTGCTGGACGACATCTCCAGCCGCATCTTCACGGCCGACTGAGCCGCTGCCCGCTCCCCCGCCCCACCTGCAGAACTCACACTCCCCACCCCCGCCCAGACCGGACTGTCTGTTGCCCTGGCCCTACCCGGCCCGCCGCTGCGCACCCAAAAGGAAGGGCTGGGGCTGGACAGGCCCCTCCGCTGCTACTGAGGCCGTGGGCCTCGCCCTGTGCTCAGCTCTGAGAATAAACCACTCCTCGCCCCGGCGCCCAGCTCAGCCGTTTCTTGATTCAACCTCTCTGGACGCCACCTGGGATGCCCGAGTCCAGCGGGGGACAGAGAGGCAAAGGCCCGTTGGCAGCCCGCAGGTCGGCTGCTGCTGTGTCACAGGGAGTGGGAGCCCAGGACGGGGCTGTGGAACCTCCACCCGGGAGAGTCCAGGCAGGCTTCCTGGAGGAGGTGACACTGGAGCTGGGGCGGGGGGAGGGGGGATGTGTTTTGGCAGAGAAGGGGAGGCTGGGTCACAGGGTAGCTGCAGCCCTCCTAGGTATGGATTAGAAAAAGGGACACAGGCCCCGGCCAGGGCTCCCAGCCTGTTGAAGTTCAGCCTCCGGTTCTCTGTGGCCACCAAGAAGCCGTGTGCAGTGGACAGCGTGCCTAGCTGCCGGCAGTGCAGGTCCAGGCAGAGGGACTCCCACACAGGGACACAAAAGGCCAGGGGCGTGGACTGCAGTGTAGACGGACATCAGGCGAGGTGTTTAAGGCCTTCTCACAGGCTATGGAGCTTTTTAAAGATTGATTTATAAATCAGAATTAGATCTTCCATCCACTGGTTCACTCGCCAGAGGGCCAGGTGGAAGCCAGGAGCCAGGGGCTTCTTCCGGGTCTCCTACGTGGGTGCAGGGCCCAAGCACTTAGACCATCCTCCACTGCTCTGCCAGGCGCATTAGCAGGGAGCTGGATTGGAAGTGGAGCAGCCGGGACTCGAACCGGCGCCCACATGGAATGCCGGCGCTGCAGACAGTGGCTTCACCTGTGCCACAGCCAGCCCCCACCCGAGGATCTTAATCCAGTGGCAAATCACACGGGTGTTTTCACGGGGCGAGGCAGCCCCTTGAGTTAAGCTGAGCACCCAAAGCCAGCCAGCTAGGAAGTGGGGGCTGGGCTTTGAAGCCGGCACACTGGGCCGTGACACCCTGCTGCCTCCTGTGCCGACTCAGGCCTGAGCACCGCAGTTTTTGTGCCTGAAATGCAAACACCAGGGCTGAGCAGCCCGAGGCCCTGGCACCCGACAAGCCTGTGGGGCCTTGTCCCAGGGAAGGGCAGGCTGCCCGAGGGACGCCGGATGCCGTGACCCAAGGTGAGGAGGCGGCCCTGGGACTTCACTCTGGAGTTGGCGCGAGGGTCCCTTCCCAGAGGGGTAGGGCCCTGTGCAAAGTCTGCGTTCCGGGACGATGCAGGGAGCTAGTGGGCGGCACCCTTCCCGCCTCTGCTGTCCCAGCACGCAGGAGGAGGAGCCCGGGTCCAGTCTGCCTGCTCACAAGCCCCGGGTGCAGGGACAGGCCCAGCTCTGCAGCTGGAAGCCAGCTGTGCCGCCCGCTGCAGCAGAACAAGTGGCCTGGCCCCTCTCTGCCTCGGTTTCCCTCCCAGGGTTGGGATTAGGGCCACGTGGGTTGGCGTGTCGTCTGCCCTGAGCACTGTGTAAGGGCAGCTCTGGTCGACATCTGAACCAGGTGAATCCAGCCCACGTGGACTTGGTCACCCAGAGACACGGGGCGACCCCAGGGCCAAGGCAGTCGTGTGGGGGGGGTGGGTGCGTGTGTGTCCACGTGCAGGGGAGTGGCCGAGGGAATAACCGTGGGCAGGGACGGAGCAGCCACCCTCGACGCTACCTTGCAAGCAGCCCGGGATTCCCACAGCCAAAGTTTTGCCTGCGTCCCATGACGGGTGGGGTGGGGTGCCATGCCCAAGCACGCATCCAGGGACATCATCCTGGCTGGGTCCCAGAACACCTAGTGATGAAGCCACCTGCCCCCCCACCATGTCCCAGAAGAAGAGGGAAGGAGAGGAGGAGCAGCGGGGAGACCGTGCGCCCCAAACTCCGCCTCCTGTACACACTCGATTCTGCCCCACGGCAGCCTATAAAAGGACACCCAAACCCTGCAGACTGCAGCCCAGGCTTTCCTTGTCTTTAAACACGTCCCAGGCACCTGCCCCCTTCATCCAGGTCTCCTGTTGGAGGAAAGAGCCCGCAACAAGCCCGGGGTCGGGGTCCCTCTCCCCCCCTCCCCTGCAACAGGGCTCTGCAGCTGTCACCCTCTGTCTGCCCCTCCCCGTGGAGGGGTGAAGGTGGAGACACGGACAAGGCTGGAGAGGGCAATGGGGAAGAGGGGGAGAGGAGAGGAAAGGGGGAGAGGAGACCGGAGAGTCGGCCCTGCCCAGGTACCCTGGAGAGCGCAAGCCAGGTCTAGCTGGGTCCTCGGGAGCCCTGGTGTGTGGGGGCGGAGGACACACCCCATCCGCAGCCTCCTGCCACACCTCCGGATATCCCAGCTCCTTGCAGAGCCGCCAGGGGAGGACTCGGAGGCTGCCTTGCAGCCGCTGCGACAGCATCCATCCATCTGCGTCCCAGGAACACTCCGGGGGCATTGCACCTGCCCCGTCTCCCACAAGCCTCTCCACTTCCCGGTGCGTTCCCACAGGTTCTCGCTGGGTTGGGGAGACAGCGGCCTCCACCGGGCGACCAGCTTTGCAGACATCCCGGGGACGCAGTCCCGGGGCCGACCAGTTGGTGGCTGAATGCAGCCTGGTTGCGCCAGCACCGCCACGGTGATTGGTGCAGCCGAGGTGTGCTGGCATCGGGCACGGGTCGCCGCTCTGCCCATTTCTCCGAGCTACCGGCTTCCAGCTCACCAGCACCTGCCGCCACACTCAGGACAGCCCAAGCAGCCCAAGAGGTGCCCGGGACCAGGTGTTTCTGATGCAAGTCTCTGCTGCTGGGGCATCAGCGATGGTCCCATAACACCCCTCCCCGGGTTCGCATTCGCTCATAAATAGCCCCATTCCAGAGAGGAGACAGGCTCCAGCCCTCAGCTGCGGAGAGCTGTGGCTGCGGAGCCCCTGACAGCATCTTGCTTCTCCCTGGCTTCCAGAAGCTGGGCATCTCCGGCCCGTGTTTACACAACGGGAGCTGGGTGCATGGGTGCAGGGGAAGTGGGTTGAGGCTCCCAGGGACCGCCCGGCAGAGATGAGGCCAGAACCTGCGCCTTCGCTGTACCAGCACCAGGGCACTTTTCAGACGCTCCCTTGGCCGCGCGCCCGGGTGGGGCGCGGCGCTGTCACTCAGCTCGGGGCCGGAAGTAGAGGAAGGGCGCAGGCCCGAGCCGGGCGGCGGCGGGTGGCGGCCGACCTGGAGGGGCGGGGGCGGCCTGGAGCACGTCGGGGCCGGTGGTCGGCTCCGCTGCGGCTTTGCAGTCATGTCTCGCCAGGCGAAGGATGACTTCCTGCGGCATTACACAGTCTCCGACCCCAGGACCCACCCCAAGGGCTACACCGAGTACAAAGTAACCGCGCAGGTGAGGTGGGGCCCGGCGGATCCATCGCCCCTTTAAGGAGCCCGGCGGCCGAGTTTTCTCTTAAGGCAGAGCGCCGCAGGAAACCTCCTTTTGAGCCGACAGAAAAGAATTTCCCCTTTAAGGGGAGGCAGGGTCTGCGCCTCCGCTGACGTCCGCGCGCCTGGGGGGCGGGGCGACGGGAGGGCGCGGCCCCTCTTAAAGGGGCGCGGACGGCCGTTCCGTGGCGGCCGGGCGTGCGCCCACGCGGGGCTCGTGGCGTGTGGACCCGAGGCTGCGACTTTCTCCGAGTCTACAGGGAAGCTGGCCTAACGGCTTCCATACCCCGGAGCGGCTTCGACACCGACATAAAAGGCCTTTAAAGAGCTCATTTTCCGTTCTTCACAAAATTACCCCGGTGTGTGGTTCTAGACTGCTCGGGAGTTAGCGTGGGCGGTCACGGCAGGGAAGGAGTGAGGCGCTGACGTAGGAGCATCGCGTGACGTAAGAACACTGACGTAAAAGCATCACGTGACTTGAGGGCTGTGTGATGTTAAAACATCGTGTGATATTCTAAGAGCATGGTGTGACGTAAGAGCACTATGTGACGTAAGAGCAGCCCTTGTGTGGAGGTGGAGGAGCCGTGAGAATAATTCCCAGTGAGCAGAATAGAATGCTGGCGCTGACGTAAGAGCAGGGTGACGTCATAACTCGCAGGCCGCCGAGCCGCGGTGGGGGGGGGGCACCCGGGGCAGACTCCCCTCTGGGGGCTGGGGAACCTGGAGTTCGGCAGCTTTGGAGCTGATAATAAATATTAACGGGAACGGAGCGCCCGGGCTCTCCCGGCGCGCGCTGTGTGCGGCAGCGGGTCCAGCCCGCGTCCCACGCGTGCGGAGTCCCGGCTGCCCCGCGTCCCACGCGTGCGGAGTCCTGGCTGCCCCACGCGTCCCACGCGTGCGGAGTCCTGGCTGCCCCACGCGTCCCACGCGTGCGGAGTCCTGGCTCCCCGTGCCCGCGTCCCACGCGTGCGGAGTCCTGGCTGCCCCTGTGCCCGCGTCCCATGCGTGCGGAGCCCCAGCTGCCCCGCGCTTCCCACGCGTGCGCAGTCCCGGCTGCCCCACGAGTCCCACGCGTGCGGAGTCCCGGCTGCCCCACGAGTCCCACGCGTGCGGAGCCCCGCCTGCCCCTGCTCCCAGCCGGGCCCTGGCTCTGCTCCTCGCCCCGTGGGGATAGGGCTCTGGCTCCCGCCTGGCCAGCCCTGCCCTGCGGCCATCTGGGGTGTGTGCAGAGGTTGGTGGTGCAGAGCGCTGTGTGCGCTTCCCCCGGCCCCGCCCTCAGCTCTACACCAGGTAACCTGGGTCTGGTTCATAATTCCTAAAGAATTCCCACTGCACCCCCTTCCTGCTGTCCTTAGAGAGCCTCACTATTAGTTTATTTATCCTTGCAAATGAACTCAGTGTTTGTGAGCGAATGTGTGATTCCACCATCTGCTACTTACGGGAGTAGGCGTCGGTATTCCTGCGTTGCTTAGTGATTTTTAGGAAAGAGGGAGAGACGGACAGCGGAGAGCTTCCGCGCACTGGCCACCCCCACGGTGCCCGCAGCCGGGTCCCGTGCTGGGGCAGAGACCCACCTGCTGGGTGCCTCCTCGGGTCGTCGGCGGCGGGAAGCTGGAGTCAGAGGCCGGAGCCGGGACTCAAACTCAGGCCTGAGGCATCTGGGCCACTAGCCCAAAAGGCTGCCCTCGCGGCTTTGTTCTTCGTTTACTAATAATAATAAAAGCTATGCTTTACATAAAGATGCACAGACTTTTTTTTTTAATACAAGATTTACTTATTCGAGAGGCAGAGCTGGAGGGGGCAACAGAGAGAGAGAGACAGAGAGACAGACAGAGAGACAGACAGAGAGAGGTCTTCCATCTGCTGGTTCAGTCCCCAAATGGGTGCAATGGCCGAGGCTGGCCAGGCCGAAGCCAGGAGCCTGGAATTCCGTCCGGGTCTCCCACGTGGGTGCAGGGGCCCGAGCGCCTGGGCCTCTTCTGCTGCTTTCCCAGGTGCATCAGCAGGGGGCGGGATCGGAAGCGGAGCAGCCAGACTTGGATTGGCGCTCGCATGGGACGCCAGTGCTGCACGCTGCGGCCTAACCCGCTGAGCCACAGCCCTGGCCCTAAGACGCGCAGACCCTAAGTGCGCGCGCGTGCAGATGAGCGGGCTGCTGGGAGTAAAGACCCCGACCGGGGTGGCAGCAGCAGCTCCATCCGTCCGTGATGCTGCCGTCTGCAGAGGTCGGAGAGGCTTCTGGGAGCTGGCGGCGCACCTGCAGCGCCCGGCGGGCTCTTACCCTGCGCTGGGTGGGTGGCCCTTTAAGAGCTGGAAGGACTGAGGCACGTGGCAGAGGGACAGCGGGATGCCAGCGCCCAGGGGCCCTGACCCGAGGGGCAGTGGCACTCGGGATTGTCCGGGCCTCCTTAGCTTTTCCAGGAGATGGGCTGGCACGGCCACCTCTGGTCTCACCTGGCTCTTGCCCTTTTTTTTTTCAGTTCATCTCAAAGAAGGACCCTGAGGATGTGAAGGAGGTGAGGCTCGTGGGGAGCGGGGCCACCCCCACTTCCAGGTCTGGACAGAGTGAGCAGGCAGCAGCCGGCTCCTGGGGGGGAGCGCGGGGGGCGCCAAGGGCGGAGTGGCGGCCGTGCCCTCTGCTCAGGCGTCCCTCAGCTGCGCGGGCGCGGGACACGGTGCACGGGAGGCTGCCCCCCACCCCGCAGGCTCGGGGCCAGCCCGTGTGTGGCCCCCACGGGCCCAGGCTAGCCTGCATGTGTCCCCTGCATGTCTGGGCCAGCCTGTGTGTGTCCCCCGCAGACTCGGGCCAGCCCGTTTGTGTCCCCCATGGGCCCAGGCCAGCCCCTGTGTGCCCCCTGCGAGCCCGGGCCAGCCCGTGTATGTCCCCGCGAGCCCGGGCCAGCCCACATGTGTCCCCCGCGAGCCCGGGTCAGCCCACGTGTGTCACCCGTGGGCCCAGGCCAGCCCCTGTGTATCCCCCACGGACCCGGGCCAGCCCGTGTTTGTCCCCCGCGAGCCCGGCCCAGCCCGCGTGTGTCCCCACAGGTGGTCGTCTGGAAGCGGTACAGCGACTTCCGCAAGCTGCACGGAGACCTGGCCTACACCCACCGCAACCTCTTCCGCCGTCTCGAGGAGTTCCCCGCCTTCCCCCCGGCCCAGGTGTTTGGTGAGTGTGCCAGGACTTGAACCAGCGCCCACGTGGGATGCCGGTGTCGCGCGGTGGTTTAACCCCCTGAGCCGCAGCACCAGCCGCTCGTGTTCTGTCTCTGCTGGGCAGTGCTGGTCTGTGTGCATCCGGGTCCCCTGACGCCGGGGGGATGAGATGTTTGGTCACAGCTGGTGAGGGCTCGTTGCCGGCAGGTCATGCCAGGGTGGCACAGCTTACGCCCCCGGCAGCACAGGGCAGAGCAGGGGCCTGTGACAAAGGGGCAGCTTGCTGTGTGACCCTGGGTGGGTCACTTTCCCCCTCTGTGCATGGAGGCTTTGTTTCTCATCTGGGATACAGTATCCAGGACAGAAACTGTTTCTCTCTCGTTCTCCCTCTGAGCGCAGCTGGTAGTGGGTGCTCAGGAGACATCTGGCGGATGAGTGGGGAAGTTTGTCCCCCTGGGAAGCCTCAGGGAGGCTCGTGGGGAGGAGGAGCTGGGCGGGCCCTGGGGTCACCGCCGCTCTGCCCCCTCCCCGTCCTGGGGCACTGCAGGCCGCTTCGAAGCCTCGGTCATCGAGGAGCGGCGGAAGGGGGCGGAGGACCTGCTTCGGTTCACGGTGCACATCCCTGCGCTCAACAACAGCCCCCAGCTCAAGGAGTTCTTCCGGGTACGCTGCCCCGCCCCGCCCTGCCCTGCCCCGCCCCGCCCCCAGGCACCTGCCCACCAGGCCACGCCGCCCCGCCCTGCCCTGCCCCGCCCCGCCCCCAGGCACCTGCCCACCAGGCCACCCCGCCCTGCCCCGCCCCCAGGCACCTGCCCACCAGGCCACGCCGCCCCGCCCTGCCCCGCCCCCAGGCACCTGCCCACCAGGCCACGCCCCCAGGCACCTGCCCACCAGGCCACGCTGCCCCGCCCCGCCCCGCCCCGCCCCCAGGCACCTGCCCACCAGGCCACGCCCCCAGGCACCTGCCCACCAGGCCATGCTGCCCCGCCCCGCCCCGCCCCCAGGCACCTGCCCACCAGGCCATGCTGCCATGCCCTGCCCCGCCCCCAGGCACCTGCCCACCAGGCCACGCCACCCCGCCCTGCCCCGCCCCCAGGCACCTGCCCAGCAGGCCCCGCCGCCAACTCTGCCGGGCTGGTCTCTCCCGCAGGGTGGCGAGGTGGCACGGCCCTGTGAGGCGTCCAGGGACCTGCACATCCTGCCTCCGCCACTGATCCCCACCCCGCCCCCTGACGAGCCCCGGCTGCCCCAGCCGCTCCCCGCCGAGAGGAGGGGCCTCGAGGAGTCGGAAGTGCCAGGTACTGGCCGAAGGCTGGGCGCCGGAGTGGTCAGACAAGGTGGGCGGGGGTGGACGTGGGGGTCCACACCCAGCCCCCAGCCCTAACCGTCTCCCTGCTTAGGGACTCTGGACGGGTCATCTTCATTCTCAGCTTCTCCATCTGTAAAATGGGCACAAACCCTTGAGGGACTTGGTGAGGGGCGGCTCCCTGGCAGAGCTGGGCCACGGCTCAGCGCAGCTGTCCCTGTGCCCCGTGGTCTCTGCTCAGCAGACCCCGCGCCGTCCAGCCCCGCCCAGGAGGCCCTGGATCTCCTCTTCAGCTGTGGCAGCCCCCAGGAGGCGTCGGGGACCCCCACCCGGGGCCCGCTCACCGAGGCTGACCTCGCCCTCTTCGACCCCTTCTCCAAGGAAGGTAACGGATGGGGACGGCCAGAGCCGGGGTGTCTGGGGCCGAGGCTGGTTCACTTTCTGGGGCTGTAACAGGGGCCTGAGGTGGGCACTGAGGAAGCGAGCCGATTTCACTCCCAGTGTCGGCAGCTGCAGGTCCGAGACAGGGCAGCCCCGTGTGTTTGGCCCCAGTCAGGGCCTTGTGGCAGACGGTGTTATAGTGTGACCGACAGGCATAATGGGAAAGCCACCTTGCCATGCCGGCATCCCATATGGGCATCGGTTCGAGTCCTGGCTGCTCCACTTCCAATCCAGCTTCCTGCTGTGGCCTGGGAAAGCAGTGGAGGATGGCCCAAGTGCTTGGGCCCCTGCACCTGTGTGGGAGACCTGGAAGAAGCTCCTGGCTCCTGGCTTCGGCCTGGCAGAGCCCCGGATGTTGTGACCATTTGGGGAATGAACCAGCAGATGGACACACTCACTCTCTGTCTCTCCTTCTCTCTCTCTGTAAGTCTGCCTTTCAAATAAATAAATCAATCTTTAAAAAATAAATGAAGACGATCCCATGGTGAGACAGGAAGTGAGAGGGGCTCAGGGCCCACTCTGTAAGGCTGGCATTCATTGCCTCTGGGGTCCGTGCCCCCAGCACCCAGTCCCCACACACCGCTGTCTAACTCTGTGTATTTATTTGAAAGTCAGAGTTACACAGAGAGAGAGAGAGAGGTCTTCCATCCGCTGGTTCACTCCGCAACTGGCCGCGACAGCCAAGGCTGAGCCAGGCCAAAGCCAGGAGCCAGGAGCTCCATCCGGGCCGCCCCCGTGGTAGCAGGGTGCACGCGCTCGGGCCATCATTCGCTGTCTCCCTGGGCACATGAGCAGGGAGCTGGACTGCGAGCCAGGACTTGACCAGGCGCTCACATGGGTGCCGGCCTCCCAAACAGCAGCCTGCACCTGCTGTGCCGCAACACCAGCCCGGCCCCCACCTCTCCAGGCTCCACCCCCTGGTGCTGCCATGGGGACCAAGCGTCCAGCACAGGAACCTCTGGGGGGGCCCTGTGACCGCATCCAGGCCACACCAGCTGCCAGCAGCCTGTGGGCCCCTCTGTGGTGCTGCCTGAGGCAGCAGGCAGCCTCGGAGCCCCCGTCATGCCGGGGCTCAGGGTGGGGCCAGCAGGTACAGAATGCGGGGAGGAGGCCGTTCACCAGCTGGACTCGCGCCCGCCACCTTCCAGCGAGGTTTGCAGAGCCCGGGCCCGCGCTGCGCTGCCCTGCGAGTCCAGGCCCTGCGGTTGGAAGCCGCAGGTGGGGGTCCCGGCCGGCTCAGGGTCCAGATCCTGAAGGCAGGGGAGACCCACCGGCCGGCAGAGGTAGGGCCAGGGCTCAAAGGCCTTCTCACCCAACCCGCCAGCCTCGCGGCCTCGCGTGAACGCTGCAGGGACGGGGTCCGACCACCTCGGCGCCAGTCCTGCAGGCGTGCTGAGCCCCTCACTCGGGACAGTGAGGAGACCCCTCACCCCCGTCCTCACCTTTGGGCTAAAACTGTGAGACCTCGCAGAGCCCTGCAAGTCACTGAACCCGCCGCTCCAATGCGGGGATCGGGCTTTTCCGTCCCCGGCCTCCTGCCGTCGGCCCAGCCGCCTTGCCTTCCGTTAAAACGCTGGGTTTCAGGTCAACCAGAGGCAGCGGCAAGCAGGACCAGGGACGCAGAGCTTGGAGACCACGGTCCGCGTGCTCCTAAAGAGCCAGTTAGGACAGCAAGGCTGCGGGCGAGCGCAGGAGCCGCACCCATTAAACAGACCCGGCTGCTCTGCCCTGTGCCCGCCCGGGACTGCTCCCCTCCCCTGGGGACAGGGCGGCGCCCTGGTGTGGGGTGGGCAGCAGGCCCCGGGAAGGGAAGGGCCTCCTGGCCTGAATCCCCCCTCTCCCCTCTTTGACTGCATAAATTTAGGTGCAGGCTGCAGCCCCACCAGCGCAGGCGAGCTGGCAGCGACCGAGGCGGAGGCCACGCAGCCGCAGGAACCCTGGGAGCCAGGAGGGCGGCAGGGGGAGGACCCGCAGGGAAAGCCCGTACCCGCCTACGTGAGCCAGGCCACGGAACTCATCGCCCAGGCCCTGCGGGACGAGAAGGCGGGCGCCTACCCGGCCGCGCTGCAGGGCTATCGGGACGGCGTGCACATCCTGCTGCAGGGGGTGCCTGGTAAGGGGCGGCCTGGGGTCCCGGCTGAGGGCAGCGCAGACGTCAGGAGTCCTCGCCCCTGGGCGGCTGGCTCTCTCGGGGCCTCCCTGTTCTCATCTGTGCAATGGGAGATAGGCGCTGGGTCCAAGGGGAGGCAGCAAGGCTCAGCGGGTCGCTCTGGGAACCGTAAGGGGCTCGGCCAGGGCCGCTCAGAGGAGCCACTGTGTCGCCCCCAGGTGACCCATCCCCTGCCCGCCAGGAAGGTGTGAAGAGGAAGGCGGCTGAGTACCTGAAGCGGGCGGAGGAGATCCTGCACCTGCACCTGACCCAGCTCCCGCCCTGAGGGGGCGCACCCTCCCCGGGACTCCAGCTCCAGCACTGCCAGCCTCCCCGGCCCCTCCCCCAGGGCCTGGCCCTCCCACCGGGCCGTTTCTGTATGCGACTGCACCAAGAATGAGAACGAAAGGATGAATTCTGAGCTGCCGGAGTGTGGGGGTCTGCTTGGGCCCAGGGGCTCGCGCTTGTGAGCCCATCCGACCACTGGACTGTCAGGTCACCCGTCTGGCCCCGGGCTCTGCCACCCACAGCCCGGAGCCACACATCTCGTGCTAAATACTGAGATTTTTTTTCCACTTTTTAATGGTTGGGGGAAAAATAACAGGCAGGTGAAAATTACATGCAACGTAATCGTATATAAATAAAACTTGGCGGGACCCAAGGCTGCACCTGCGGGGTCACCTAGCAGTTGGGTGGCGCCAAGGGCAAATCCACTGCCTGCCTCGCAGGGAGGGCAAGCGGGCCACGGCGCTACCTAGTGGGGAGGGCCGTCTCCATGGCAACAGGGGAGCAAGGCCGGCACAGCGCCCTCATTGGGTGGAAGGGATGATGGGGAGGGACCGAAGGCGGGGCTATCCGTTTGACAGGGGAAGACAACTGGGAGCGCGGAGGGGGCGTGGCCTCGTGCCGGCCGCGCTTGGGGGCGTGGCCCGGTGCCGCCCCTCCTGCGAAGCGATTGGTTGCGGGCGTGTCAACAGACCGGTGCATGCTGGGAGTGCCGAGGCTGAGCGCCGCGCCGGGAGCAGGGCGTTAGTGCTGCTGGAGCTAGCGGAACGGTGGGCGGTGGGGCGTCGTGGGCCGCGTCGCGGTGCTGTCGCCGGGTCGGGTGAGGGGACGGTGGTGGGCAGAGCCGGAAGCGGTGGCCCGACGGGCGGGCGGGGAAGCGGGTCCCCGGCTTGGCACGCCCCCTGCTGCCGAGCCCACGCCGGCCTCGGCGTAAGGTCTCCCGGAACGGGGCGAGGGGCCGCCGCGGTGCTGAGCGCGCCCCTGCTGCCCGCGGCCCACCATGCCCGCCTGCGAGCTGCCGCTGGGTACGTGCCCGGACATGTGCCCGGCCGCCGAGCGCGCCCAGCGCGAAAGGGAGCGCCGCCTGCACCGCTTGGAAGTGGCGCGGGGGTGCGGCGGGGACCCGCCCCGCGCCGACCCGCGGCGCACGGTGAAGGAGTACAGCCGGCCGGCCGCGGGCAAGCCCCCGCCCCCGCCGAGCCAGCTGCGCCCGCCCTCCGTGCTGCTGGCCACCGTGCGCTACCTGGCCGGCGAGGTGGCCGAGAGTGAGGACGCCTCGCGCGCCGAGGTGGCCAGCTTCGTGGCGGACCGCTTGCGCGCCGTGCGCCTGGACCTGGCGCAGCAGGGCGCCGGCGACGCCGAGCAGGCGGTGGTGCTGGAGACGGCGCTGGCCACGCTGCTGGCCGTGGTGGCGCGGCTCGGGCCGGACTCGCCGCGCGGGCCCGCGGACCCGGTGCTGCTGCAGGTGCAGGTGCAGGAGGGCTTCGGCTCTCTGCGGCGCTGCTACGCGCGGGCCGCAGTGCCACACGCGCGCCAGGCCACCTTCCAGGGCCTCTTCCTGCTCTACAACCTGGGTGAGTCGGGGAGCCCCCGCGCGGGGGTGGGGGCGGGGGCGGGAGCAAGGAACATAGAAGTTTCACCGTTAGCTCCTCCCGGGAAAGTCAACGCACGGGAGCCACAGAGGCCGGCCCCTCGCATCTCTGGGTGGAAGGGGAGGGGACCGACGGCGGTTGGGGGGACAGACGGGGGTGGGGGCGCTGGTCTCGGTCTCCAGGCTTTTCCTTAGCCTGCGCTGTCTTGCAGGGCCGCCAAGAGCACCTGCGCCCTGCGCGGTGTCTCAGATACTTCGGGTGGTAGCTTCCAATCAGTTCTGTTTGATTGCTATAAAACGCTCTGGGTTCCGCAACCCACTAAGAGGCCCTAAGCCCCAGCACGTGGACCAAGGGGCCCGAGTCTGATTTTCCTGTACGGGATGGCCCTCCCGGCCGGCGGACAGAGCTGGCTCCTAAACTGGGCAGCCAGGGCACGGGGAGCTCTGTGGGAACAGGGGGTGCACACGGGCTCCAGGACGGTCCCAAGCAAGTCATGAACGCTGCCCGATTCCCCGTGGCTGTAAAGGCCCGGAGGCATCCACGCCCTAGAAAGGGCTGATGACAGGATCTTAGGGATCTTAGTTCTCAGAGCCAGGCCGGCGAAGAGGCGTGAGCTGGGTGTGGCAGGGCCTGAGGGGACGGGATGGCAGGTGGGCGTCCTCATTGTGTGTCTCCCCCCCCCCCCCCCCCGCAGGCTCCGTGGAGGCACTACGGGAGGTTCTGCAGCTGCCCGCCGCCCTGCGTGCTTGCCCAGCCTTGCGCACGGCCTTGGAGGTTGACGCCGCCTTCCGCGAGGGCAACACCGCGCGCCTGTTCCGCCTGCTCCGGACCCTGCCATACCTGCAGAGCTGCGCCGTGCAGGGCCACGTGGGCCGAGCCCGCCGCGAAGCCCTGTCCCGACTGGCTCGCGCCCTGAGCACCCCTAAGGGGCAGGCCTTGCCGCTGGAGTTCATGGTGCACCTACTGGCTCTGGATGGACCCGAGGAAGCACGGGGTCTGTGCGAAGCCCACGGGCTGCCCGTGGACGGACGGGACCGGGTGGTGTTCCTGAGGGCCGGCTACGCAGAGAAAGGGCCGCCCCCGGCCGGCGCCTGCCACCTGTTGGTGACCAGCAAGCTTCGGGGACGCACGATAGAGGAGGTGGTCATGGCGGAGGAGGAGGACGACGGTGTGGACAGACTGAGATGCCTGGCCTGAGGAGGGAGCCCCAGGCGGGGCACAGCATCTGGACTTCCGTGTTCACGATTCTCAGCCAGTAAAGGAACCTTGTTTTGTGGGGCCACGCTCCGGACGTGTTTTATTTGGAGGGGGTGGGGAGCTGAGGCCCCGCCCGCAGGTCCTGCTCTGTTTCCCTGAGCGTGGCCTTGGGGACCTGAGTTGGCGCCTTGTGCTTAACCCACCCAGGTTTCGGGATCACCCTCCGGGTGTCTGTGACTGGTGGGCCCCAGGCTGTTGCCTCAGAAGCTTGAGAGGGGCCCGTGGTGGTGCCCCCTCCTGGCACACCCCAGGAGAACGAGGCAGGAGGGCTGGGCTCAGAGGTCGGCCACGGGCCGCAGGGCGGCAGCCGCACCCTCCAGCGCCGCCACCACGATGCTGAGCTGCCTCTGCACTTCGGCCCAAGCTTCAGATCCAGGCTCCGTGCCGCTGGCCCTGGAGAAGCTGTTGGCCAGGCCCGGGAATGTGACTATGGAGCCGGTGCGGGGTGCCCAGAGCACGTGGCTGGCGGCAGAAATGGGGCGGGAGGAGGTCAGCTGGGGACCAGGCGAGAGGACCCTCAGCCCCGCCCCGTGCACGGCCGGGCTCTAACCCGCCCCCCGCCGAGATGCAGGTCCTTATCCTGGCTGTGACCCATCTGCCTTTGCTTCCTCCCTGGCTCTCCCCGGGGCTCTAAAGCGACAAGACCGACATCTCCCTCCTCCCTGGAGCAAGCGGCCACTGCCCTCCCCGCGCCCGGGCGCCGGAGCCGGGCGGGCTCACCTGTAGTAGCGCTCCTCTGGGAAGGCTCTGGGGTTCAGGAAGCTCCGCTCCAGGAGCATCAGCTGGTCATTGAGCATCCGCACCTGCAGGGGGCTGGGAGCAGGACCCGCCGGTCAGCCGCGGCCGCGGCCCTCCCAGACCCCCGCCCGGTGCCCCTGCTCACTCGGGGCTGCCCTGCCGCGCCGTCCAGATCCGCTGGTCCAGGGCTGCAGCTGCCGCCTCAAACTGCTCCACCGCGGTCGTCAGGGGCCCTGTCGGGGAGCAGCCGGGGTGAGCCTGGGGGTGCGGGGTGGGGGCAGGGCTCCAGGGGCCACGCTGTCTGGGGGAGTCTGTACCCAGGCTGATGCCCTGCTGCTCCAGCGGGGCCCCGAGGTCGCTCTGGGCAGCCTGCAGGAAGCTGCGCAGGGTGTCGCCGTAGTCCGTGACGTTCAGAGGCAGGAAGAGGCTGTCGCTGAGCCGCAGTAGCACGTTGCCCACCGTCTGCGCCACAGCCCGGTGGCTGCTGAAGCCTGCGCGGGGCCGCAGGCCGGGGCTCAGTCCTGGGCCGCCTCCTCCCCTCCTGTCTCGGGGCGTCCCCTACCCCTCCTCACCGGGGTCCAGGAACTTCTCCACGTAGTCGAAGGTGTCAAAGGCTGTGTGGTAGGTGGGGTAGATCCGGGCTGAGGTCTTGGTCTGGGGGAGAAGGGCGGAGTTGTTTTGGGGATGGGAAGTGGAGGGGCCCGTGGTGAGCTGCGGGGGTGGGGGCAGGGCATTAAGAAAAATGGATAAGAAAGAGGCAGAGCTGGGCCTGGCGCTGCTTCCGCCTCCTATGAAGGAGGGAGCCTGGGACTTTGGAGTCAGATTTGGGGGTGCAGGTCCCAGCTCCGCCCCCCGCAGCCGTGTGGCCAGGAGGCGCGGGGGCTTTCTGGAGCGGCGAGCAGGGTGCATCAGCCCTGACTTCACCTCTTAACATCGCGATCTGGTTGCTTCTTAGAGTGTCCTCCCACCCCCATGGCAGCATCTCCCCCACCTCCGTCACCCCACCCCCATGGCAGCGTCTCCCCCACCCCCGTCACCCCACACCCATGGCAGCGTCTCCCCCACCCCCGTCACCCCACACCCATGGCAGCGTCTCCCGCACCCCCGTCACCCCACACCCATGGCAGCGTCTCCCCCACCCCCGTCACCCCACACCCATGGCAGCGTCTCCCCCACCCCCATCCTCCCACACCCATGGCAGTGTCTCCCCCCACCCCCGTCACCCCACACCCATGGCAGCGTCTCCCCCACCCCCGTCACCCCACACCCATGGCAGCGTCTCCCCCCACCCCCGTCCTCCCACACCCATGGCAGCGTCTCCCCCACCCCCGTCACCCCACACCCATGGCAGCGTCTCCCCCACCCCCGTCACCCCACACCCATGGCAGCGTCTCCCCCCACCCCCGTCCTCCCACACCCATGGCAGCGTCTCCCCCACCCCCATCACCCCACACCCATGGCAGCGTCTCCCCCCACCCCCGTCCTCCCACACCCATGGCAGCGTCTCCCCCACCCCCGTCACCCCACACCCATGGCAGCGTCTCCCCCCACCCCCGTCACCCCACACCCATGGCAGCGTCTCCCCCACCCCCGTCCTCCCACACCCATGGCAGCCCCCCCCACCCCATCCTGGATCTCGCGTGTCTCGGGGGAGCAGTCTGCAGTCCAGGCCGTCTTATATCTGACAAACAACACAGAGGAGTGCGCACAACGCCCAGGGAGTTCCAGGGGAAGGTGCCGTGGCAGGAGGGGAGCCGAGGGTGCCCGCCCACCTGGTCGTAGGTGTAGGCGATGTCCATGGAGGAGATGCCCAGGAAGTGAACGAAGGGTGCGTAGTCGCTGCCGGCACCCAGGGTGCCCAGCCTGCAGGAAGGAAGGGGGCCGGGCTGGAGGGCTCTGGGCAGGCCCACCACTACCACCGCCACCGCCGCCACCGCCACCGCGCGGCCTGCCAGCCCCTGTGCTCACCTGGGGACCACGCCGTACACCGGGCTGCTGCGGTTGAAGTACCGGACCCAGTTGTCATAGACGCTGAGGTCGCCGAGGCCTGGCGCTTGGACCTGGCCCAGAGGGGAAGCTGGTCTGGGACAGGGGCGGGACCCTTCCTCCTCCCCCTCCCTTCCCCCTCCTCAGCCCCAACAAAGCGGGTCCTCTCCGCGGAGACCCCAGGCTCCAGCGCACCCACGCGCCGCCACCCCCACCCCACCCCACCCCACCCCGCCGCTCCCACCTCTCTGGTTGCAGAAAACACGACACTCTGGATGGGGGGCGTGCCCTGCACCCGGAGGGTAGCGTTGGCTGTGGGAGGAGCAGAGGGCTGTTGGGGGGCGTCCTGGCCACTTCCCGTCCGCCCCTCCCCCACCTCCTGCCCTTACCGAACACCGAGATGTCCACGTTGATGTAGGCCACCGTGCGCTCCTGCAGTTTGCTGAAGAACTCCTGCGGGGGTGCGGGCCGTGTTGGCCGGCGCTGCCCTGCCCAGGGTCCCCTCGCCATCCCCTCCCCTGGGCGGCCCACTCACCTCTGTGAATTCTGTGGAGCCAATGAGCCCGAACTCCTCTGAGCCCCAGCTCCCAAACACGATGGACCGGCGGGGGCGCCAGGTGCCTGGGGAGGGAAGGAAAGGGTTGGTGGGCAGGGTCCTGGGACCCTTGGGTGGCCTAAGGGAGCCGTTAGGGATACGGGCCTGGCCAGGCCCCCCAGCTACACACTAACCCCAACACCACACTCCCGTCAGGTGGTCCCTTCCGCCAGGACCCCACCTCCCCTCTTCTCTGTAGATGCTTTGGGGAGACCCCAGCTCTCCCGTGGGGCGTCCCATGCTGACCTGGCCCCCTGGGGCTAACACACTGCTGTCTCCCTAAGGGCTTTCCCTGCACTGAACCCATCCTCACAACAAGGCCTTGGGGGAGACTTGGCCGTATCCAGCTCACGGGGGAGGAGACGGAGCCACAGGGAGCTCGAAGGACTGGGCTGCTCGGCTGCAGAGCCACGTTCCCATCTGGGCAGCGGGTGCCGGAGCCCTGGGGCTTAACCCCGCCTCTGCCAGCGGCCTGCAGCTGGCTGCCACCTGCTGCCTGGGTGCCACGTGCCCTGGCCGTGGTCTTTGGGCCTCACCTGCCCCTCCACCTGTTCGTTTTGAGTGAGACGTTCAAGAGCAGACAGTGAGAACGCACTTGCTAGGACACACTCCCATGCTCTTTCCTGCCAAAAACGCACAACCGGAGCCTCAGTGGGTAATGCCAGTGTCAGGACGTGAGGAACAGGAAGAGCTGAAAGTGAGCTCAGAGGAAGGGCGATGGCCAGGCCCGCAGTGTGGGATCCTGGACCAGGAAGTCCCTCTGCCGTAAAGGTCGTCATCGGGACAGTTAGAAAATGATCCCTTTCTAGGGTTGGCGCCGCAGCTCACTAGGCTAATCCTCCGCCTGCGGCGCCGGCACACCGGGTTCTAGTCCCAGTCTGGGTGCCGGATTCTGTCCTGGTCGCTCCTCTTCCAGTCCAGCTCTCTGCTGTGGCCCCGGAGTGCAGTGGAGGATGGCCCAAGTGCTTGGGCCCTGCACCCACATGGGAGACCAGGAGGAGGCACCTGACTCCTGGCTTTGGATCGGTGCAGCACGCTGGCCGCAACACGCCAGCCGTAGAGGCCACTTGGGGGGTGAACCAACAGAAAAAGGAAGACCTCTCTCTCTCTCTCTCTCTCACTGTCTAACTCTGTCAAAAAAAAAATCCATTTCTTGACTCTGATCACTGTACCATGGTTATAACTGGGAATGTCCTTTTTAGGAAATACACAGTGACAAACATTTCAAATATAAACAGTAAATGTGGCAAAACATCATTATTAGGAGTATCTGGATAAAGGGTATACCAAGTTTTTTGTTTGTTTGTTGTTTTAGTTTTAGTTTATTTATTTGAAAGAGTAACAGGGAGAGGCAGAGAGAGAAAGAGAAAGATATTCCATTTGCTGGTTCACTCCCCAGTTGATTGCAACGGCGTGAAGCCAGGAGCCAGGGCTGCTTCCGGGTCTCCCATGCGGGTGCAGGGGCCCAAGCACTTGGGCATCCTCTGCTGCTTTCCCAGGTGCATCAGCAGGGAGCTGGATCAGAAGTGGAGCAGCCGGGACTCGAACCAGCGCCCGTATGGGATGCCGACACGGCTTAACCAGCTGCATCCCAACACTGCCCCCACCATTTTGCAACTCTGACAGTCTGAAACTATTTTAAAATAAAATACTTCGGGTTGGGTGTTCAGCCTAGCAGTTAACATGCCTGTGTCCAGAGGCCTGAGTTGTGGAGTAGTCGGTAAAGCTACTGCCTATGACACTGGCGTCCCATGTGAACACCAGTTCGTGTCCTGGCTGCTCCACTTCCAATCCAGCTCCCTAGTAATGGCCTGGGAAAAGCATAGGAAGATGGCCCAAGTGCTGGGGATCCAGCCACCCATGGGGGAGACCCAGATAAAGCTCCTGGCTTAGGCCTGGCCCAGGCCTGTCTGTTGCATTCATTTGGGGATGGAACCAGTAGATGGACGAGCGATCTGTCTCTCCCCCTCCTCTCTAACTCTCTCAAATAAATAAAGATGCCCACGTCCCACTTCAGAGAACTTGGATCCAATACCCATCTCTGGGCCCTGACTCAGGCGCCGGGAGCCAGCGGCGATGGTCCAGGTGGTTCTGCTCCTGCCACCCACGTGGGAAGCCTAGGTCTGAGCTCCTGGCTCCCGGCATGGGCCTGGTGCAGCCCGGCATCTGGGGAGTGAACCAGAGGATGGATGGGAACTCCCTCTGTTTCCTGTCTCTCTGCCTCTCAAGGGAATAAAGAAAAAAGAAACCAAACAAGACGGAAATCCCTGCGCTACCAAAGTCAAAAGTGCAGCTCTGCCTACGGCTTGTCCCTGTTCTCCCCGGCCGCTCCTATCCACACCTGCGACTCGGGTACCGAGTACCGGGTGTGCTGCAGCCCCCGGGCCCGCCTTCAGGGCTCCTCTCTGGCACTCTCACCCGCGCGTGTGCCTCCCCTCCCCCGCAGTGTCTCCTGGGAACCGCGGGTCAGCAGTGACTTAGACACATGGCATATGGATTCTGTGATGTAGGTAACAGAAGGGGGCGGAGCTTGTGCAGAGTTGAGTGGCCGCTTGTGGTCTAATCCGATCCCAGGGCTCTGACCTCAGGCTGTTCTATGTCATGGAACGAGGGAAAGCTCTGGCAATGGGTGGCAGTGACGGTTATACCACACGGTGACTACACTCAGTGCCACCAAGTTGAGCACTTGAAAATTTGTAAAACTGGCATATTTTGTATACATACTTTACCACAGCTTTTGAAAACTAAATAAGTGGGCAGGCGCTGTGGTGCAGTGGGTTAAAGCCCTGGCCTGCAGTGCTGGCATCCCATATGGGCGCCAGTTCAAGTCCCGGCTGCCCCTCTTCCGATCCAACTCTCTGCTATGGGAAAGCAATAGAGGATGGCCCAAGTGCTTGGGCCCCTGCAGCCATGTGGGAGACCTAGAGGAAGCTCCTGGCTCCTGGCTTCAGATTGGCACAGCTCCGGCCATTGCAGCCATCTGGGGAGTGAACCAGCGGATGGAAGACCTCTCTCTCTGTCTCTACCTCTCTCTCTGTAACTCTTTCAAATAAATAAAATGAATCTTAAAAAAAAAAAAAAATAAAAAAGCAAAGGGTGGACATTTGGGGCATCCATTACGATGCCTTTGGACCCCACATCCCATGCGGGTCCCCTTCTGACTCCAGGCTTCCCGCTAATGCCCGCCCTGAGGGGCAGTGGTGATGACTCAAATCCTTGGGTTCCTGCCACCCACGTGGGAGGCCCACACTGAGCTCTGGGCTCCTGGCTTCAGCCTGGCCCAGCCCTGGCTGTTGAGAGTGACCCAGCAGAGGGAAGGTGATTAATAAATAATAAATAAATAAATAAATAATAAAGACCAGAGAAGGAGACGAACGCACGCAGAGGTGAAGGCGCTTCTCCCTCCTTTGGCCTTGACTGTTTCTCATCAATGGCACCGCCATATGCAGGTACCGTCCTCTCCTCCCCTCCACCACCAACAGACCCCAGGCCCACAGCTGTCCCTCCCCGCCACCCCCTTCCCTGGTCCAGGCTCCACAGCGCCTGCCCCCGGCCACCCCTCCCCTTCCCCGCTGTTGCCCAGGAAACCACTGCAAGTTTGGCGTCCGTGGTGCTGCTCTCCCGGTTAAAATCATTCCCGGCTCCCATCTCCCTTCCCCCTCCTGCTCTGTGGGCTCCCGTCCTTCTCCAAGGTGCTGAAATGTTGACGCGCCACCGCCACGGCCTGAGAGGCACTTCGTGGGTTAACGCTTGTCTGCCGTCCCGCCCGTGCAAGACTGGAGCTCCTGAGGTTAGAGCCTGGGCAGTGCCCACCCAGTGCCCACCACGGCGGCATCAGCCTAGCTCCATTCAGGCACATAGGAGGCCGAGGAGCTGCTGGAAGAAGCAGTCAACAGTCCACTCTGAGCCGGTCAGGGCCAGGCCTGGTGCCCCACGCACCTGCCTCTCAGGACCCTTCAGGCTTGGCCCTGGTGGGCACTGGAGAATGAGAGAGAAGAGGAGGTGGGGCTGGAAGGAGGAGGCTGGAGGGACCCCACCCCAGGTTGTCAGCACCTCGACGGGGTAGGGGGGCGGGGTGGCCTCACCTTTCTTCAGTAGGGTCCCCAGGACACGGGAGACCTCGAGGAGGACGGCGGTGCCGCTGCTGGGGTCCACGGCCCCGTGGACCCAGCTGTCCCGGTGGTTCCCATACAGGATGTAGCGGTCTGGTGGGAGGAAGGGGGTCAGAGAAGCCAAGAAGAGGGACGGTGGGCCAGGGTGGGAGGGCCAGGGCAGACCCCGGGTGGGGGTCGGGGTCAGGGCGCGCTCACCAGGCTCCACGGCCCCGCGGATGATCCCCAGGACGTTGGAGGAGTTCCTCAGCTCCAGGCGGTTGTAGATGCTCACGTTCACCTGGCTGGGGAGGGTGAAGGGCGTGGCGCGTGTGCCCTTGCCCGAGTGCTGAGGTCGGGGCAGGGAAGCCAGGCAGGACCCAGCCCCTTGGTTCTGAACCCTCTTTCTGCTCGTTCCCTCAGTGCAGCACTTAGTGGGTCCTGGGCCTGTGCCCAGCACCGCACTGGGCTCTGGGCCATGACAGACCCACGTGGACCTGGCCCTCGGGGGCCTGAGCCGGTCAAACCGCCCGCCCAGAAGCGAGCAACTGCAGGAGGCGAAGGGCTTGGAAGGAGGGGGCACCTGGCGGCCAGAGGCGGTGGGCGGGGCCCTGACTTTGGAGGGCGGGGCCTGCTGAGAGGGAGGGAGGAGCTGGGGGTGGAGAAGGTGGGGTGGGCTGGGCAGGTGCTTTGGGGTCCAGGAGGGCGTGGAAGAGAAAGGGGAAGGCCAGGCCTTGAAGTAGGAAGCCCAGGGCAGGAGAAGGCTTGGAGGGTGAACCATCCCCGCCCAGCTCTTCCTGGGCGCGACCTCTGCCCACAGAGCCGGGGCTCTGAAAGGCTGTCCCGCTGTGCGTGGAATTTACAGCTCTCTGTGCCCCGCCCACACTTCCACGGCCACGCCCCCCACGCCCCTCCCTCCCCCGGAGCCCGAGCCGCTGCATCAGACTGTGTCAGACAACCACACCTCAGGGACCAGTGTGTGTTTGGCCTGGACTTTAAGTCCTCAGACTGCACCGCGTAGCAGGGCGCCTTAGGCCCCCGCTGACACACACCCCGGGAGGCAGCAGGGGACGGTTCAAGTAGCTGGGTCCCTGCCACCCACGAGGTGGACCTGGATTGAGTCCTGGCCCCCGGCTTCGCCGTCAGCCCCGTCCAGGCTGCGGTGGGCACCTGGAGAGTGCACCCCCTTTCTCCTCTCTCTGCCTCTTCAGGTAAAAGGGAAAAACAAACTTGCGTGTTCTTTTCCTCGCTGTCTATGGGTTCGTTTTAGAGACTACAACACGACTGAGACTTCGGAGAGAGAACCCTCCCTCCAGAGGAGGGCCAAGGGGAGAGAGAGCAGAGCCGGGACAGCGGGGGCTGCGGGGGCGGGGCCCCAGCTCACCTGTCGGCCGGGAAGCTCCCACCAGACCGGAAGCCAGGCCCCAACCTGTACTCGCAGCCCAGAGCTCCCTGCCAGGACTGGGGGGCCACGGGTCCGCCGAGGTTGCTGAGGAGGGGGGAGAGGCCCTCCTCACGCACGGGTGTCGGGGTCAAGAAGGCCTTTGGGGGTGCACAGGAGCCCCCGCCCCCGCCCGCCCGCGCAGGCTCACCAGAGCAGGTCTTTGGCGTCCTGGAAACCAATGGGCTGTGAAGGAATGGGGGGGAACCCGGAGGCATTGGCAAGGTCCAAGCGGAAGGAAGAGGGTTTGGCTGGAAGGTAGGGAGTCAGGGGGTCCCCAAAATACTCAAAGTAGGAGCCTCGCTCCACCCCCGAGGGAGGCAGGCCCCAGGAGTAGGGGAAGGTCTCGTTGGGCAAGCTCCGCCCATCGTTGATGTCGGCGGGATCCGTGTACACCAGCAGCCCGATCACCCCGTGCCTGGCGCCGTTCACAGCCTGCAGAGACCGAGGAGACCGTGGGGAGGGGGGAGGGGCCGAGGCCGTGGGGAGGGTGGAGGGGCCGAGGCCGTGGGGAGGGGGGAGGAGCTGGGCAAGGCTGCTGCCGGGATGCCGGCATCCCATCTGGGGGGGCCCGGTTCAAGTCCCACTTCTGACCCAGTCTCTCGCTAATACCGAGAAGGGGGGGAGAGAGCTCCTGTCCTCTGGTTTACTCCCCAAAGGCCGCTGAGGGCCAGGTCTCGGCCGGGCAGCGGCTGAGCGCCCAGAACTGCACCCGGGTCTCCCACATGGGTATGGGAGCCCAGACACTAAGCCAACACCACCGCCTCCCAGAAGCTGGCGTCGGACGGCGAGGGTTTCTTAAGCAGAACGTTAGGAGCCAGGCCAAACGCCCGGGGCTCCCTCCCATGTCAGGTGCACAGCTGAGTGGCAGGTGGGACAGTCACACTGTGTGCAGCCCGAGCCCTGAAGCTCTGTGTTCAGTAAAAGCCAGCCCGCTGCTCCCTGCTCATTCTACACCCTTCTATCCCCCAAAATTAAAAATCTAAGTTTTCTTTCTTTTTTTTTTTTTTATAGGCAGAGTGGACAGTGAGAGAGAGAGACAGAGAAAGGTCTTCCTTTTCCGTTGGTTCACCCCTCAATGGCCACTGCAGCCGGCGCACCGCGCTGATCCGATGGCAGGAGCCAGGTGCTTCTCCTGGTCTCCCATGGGGTGCAGGGCCCAAGCACTTGGGCCATCCTCCACTGCACTCCTGGGCCACAGCAGAGAGCTGGACAGGAAGAGGGGCAACCGGGACACAATCCAGTGCCCCGACTGGGACTAGAATCCGGGGTGCCGGCGCCGCAGGTGGAGGATTAGTCTAGTGAGCTGTGGTGCCGACTTTAGTTTTCTAAGCCACACCACGTGATACCTGGCCAAACATCTGGATGGAAAGGGAGCGGCAGGGAGGGGCCAGGCAGAGACTCAAGGTCTCTGTCGGGCTCCCAGAACAGCCAAGCCGAAGATCCGACCCATGGGGTCGGCGCTGTGGCACAGCAGGTTAAAGTCCTGGCCTGAAGTGCCCACATCCCATATGGGCACAGGTTCTAGTCCCAGTTGCTCCTCTTCCGATCCAGCTCTCTGCTATGGCCTGGGAAAGCAGTGGAAGATGGCCCAAGGCCTTGAGCCCCTGCACCCGTGTGGGAGACCCAGAAGAAGCTCCTGGCTCTGGACCAGCACAGCCCCGCCCCTTGCGGCCAATTGAGGAGTGAACCATCGGATGGAAGACCTCTCTCTCTCTGCCTCTCCTCTCTCTGTGTAACTCTGACTTTCAAATAAATAAAATAAATCTTAAAAAAAAAAAAAGATCCGACCCAACCCCTTTATTTCTAAGGCTCAGAGGGGTTGCGTGGGCGTCCAAGCCCACACAGCCCCTCCGCGGGGAGGCAGGAAGGCCACTCCCTGAGTAGCAGCAAGCCCGGGCCCGCCCCAGCCCAGCGCTCACCTTGGCCCCGCGGCCCGCACCCCCGTAGCGAGTTAGGGCGATGGTGCCCTCGAGTGCGACGCCCTCAGCCCGCAGCCTCTCGAAGTCCTGTTCGGTGCCCTGGTTGGCGAAGACGAGGGGGCCCTAGACCAAAGGGGAGGGGACCCTCAGAGCTGGGCCGGCAAGGGGCCGGGGCAGGAGGCGGCTTGGATTCTGCGGTGTGGGCGCCCCAGGGACAGTCGCCCTTGGTTTCCTCTGCGTCCAGGGGCCTTGTACCAGGCCCGGACTTGAGGAGGGGCCGCTGGTGACTGTTGGATGACTCTGTACTGAAGGCCTGCCGGGGGTGTGGAGGGAAGTCAATTTTGGGGGACGGGGCTTAAGCTCCGCCCCGCCAAACACCTTCCTTCGGGTGCCTGGGGGTCGGAGTGGGGTGGGAGTGCACAAGCGGGAGAGGGGAGGAGGGGCCAGGCCCACCTGGGGGGTTCCGGGCGGAGCGTAGGCGGCGAAGGGCTGCACCACGTCCGGCCCCGCCTGCTCTCCGGTCACGTTCTCCTCCCGCGGGTGATAGGTGTGCAGGACATCGCCAGTGGAGCTCACTGCGCGGGGGCATGGGGAGACGCACAGCCAGGGCTGGAGCCAGCACGCCCCGCGCCCGCCCGCCCCGCAGCCCCAGGCGTCCCGAGGCGGCGCTGGGGCCTCACCGACGCGGATGAGGTTGGGCTGCTCCGAGCTGGGGAAGGACAGCAGGACCTCGTGCTCGTTGGTCGCGGCCGCGTCCAGGCCTGACTCCGGGTCCCGCCAGCGCTGCAACAGCAGCTGCACCAGGGTCTCGTCCCGGGGGCCCGTGGCCATGTGCGGCTCCCGGGACAGCTCCCTGTGCAGCCAGCAGAGGGAAGGGCAGGGCCCGCGGTCAGGGAGGTCGGCGGGCCTGCAGAGGCCGGGGGAGCGGGCAGAGCTGCCTCTCACCGCAGGTTCTCCCGGATCCTGCTGGCCTCCATCTGCCCCACGACGGTCGCAAGCATCTCCAGGTCCAGGTCCTGGGAGCCTGAGGTGCTGGGGGCTTGGGAGTTGGCCCCTTTGGGGATGGCAAAGTGGCCCAGGATGAGCCCCAGCCCCAGGAGGGCCACGGCCCCCACCGCCAGCCCCAGCCCCTTGGCCCAGAGCATCCTGTGGAATCCTGGCTCTCTGAGGTGGCCCTGAGCAGGACCTCCTTATACATGGGTCCTCCGCCTGGTTAACCATTATCCCGCGGCTGGCACTGTCCTTTGGCCCCAGCTGCCAGGGAGAGTGTTGGGACCTCGCGGGGGAGCCAGGAGTCACGCACAGCTGTCACGTTCTGTATCAGCCACCTGGAGGAGGGCTCCAAGGGCGTCAGGCCCTCGCTGGGACACCGAGGCTTCACCCTGTCTCCCAGCAAAACAGAGGTGGAGCCGGGACCGGAAGGCAGACCTCCTGTCCCGCCCACCGGCACGGCTTGGTCTCCCGGGGGTCTCCCGCACAGCAGCCCCGCCCACTTGGACGTTTTCTGTGTCCAGTCCCAGGCTTGATGGACATAGCTGTGTGCCCTCGGGCAGCGCGGCCTCCGTCACTGCAGAGCGGGGCTGCTAACGCCCGCTTCACCGCGTTGTGGGCTGTTTGCAGGACGAGTGCGCCTGCCTGTGCTTGGCTCGCAGTGGGATCTCAGCAGGCTGCAGTCACTCCGCCCACGAACACAGAGCCCAGAGCTAAAGGAAGAAGGCGCCAGAATTCTCCCAAGTTTTCCCTGAAGGGGTCCCAGCGTGTGGGAGGAGGTGGGGCTCTTGGGAAGGGCTCTTTAGAAGATACAGAGGAGAGGCTCGACCTTCCCTAACAAGGTGAACTCCTCTTCCACCCACCGACCCTGCCCAGAACCCACCCACCCACCCACCCATCCACTCATCCCTCACCTCCCACCCTCCTACCCATCCATCCACCCACCCACCCATCCCTCACCTCCCCCCTCCTACCCACCCACCCATCCTCCTATGCATTCACCCTCCTATTCATCCTCCATCCATCTTCCTGTCCATCCATCATCCATCCATGCCCTCACATTCCCATCCACCCATCCATCCACCCATCCATCCACCCACCCACCTGTCCATCCATCCCTCACCTCCCCCCCTCCTGCCCACCCACCCACCCATCCATCCATTGAACCAGCCATCCATTCACTACTTCACTTGTACATGCAAGCATTGTTCATTCAACTCTACGCTAGGTTCACGCGAGGCCGTGGAGAAGGAAAGCCCGTCAGACACACCACACACCGTGTGGCAAGTGCCCTAGGGAGGCGGGACCTGGGGTCCCTGAGGGGAGGGTGAGGAATTGTGCCTGACCCTCTGCGGATGAGAAGGCCAGCAGGCAGTGGCAAGGGCAGGCCCTCGGAGCAGGAGGCCAGCAAGTGCTGAGGCTGGGGAGCAGGGAGACCTCTGCACAGAGCCAGGCAGGGCTGGGCAGGCCCTCGGGGCTCAGCCTGTGACTGCACCCTGCCTTGCAGCTCTGCTGGGCTGAGGGGGCTGGGCCAGGGTGCACGCATGCGTGTGTGTGTTGGGGGGAGATTCCCCAGCCTCCTCAGAGCAGCCCCTTCCTGCTCACTCTGCAGGTCAGGAGGCAGTGCGGGAGGCCTAGGGCTGGGGAATCAGAGGCCCAGGGAGATGCACCGGGAAGCCGGAGTCACCCCGGGCACCTGACCTTGGCCCTTATCAGAAGCCATCAGTGTGGGGAACACACGCCTTCTTTATGAGAGCAGTCCCCACCAGGCAGAGCGGGATGGCAAGGTCAATTGATCAATTGAGAAACAGACGAGGGCAGACGATGACACTGCAGCCGCAGCCCCGCGGTCCCGCCCATCCGTGCCGGAGTTTAGACCTTGCCCAGGCGAGGCCCCACGAGCGCGGTGCACACGCGGGGCAGTGACGCAGGCCGTGGGGGCTCGTAGGTGTCGGCACCGCTGTGGGCACCACACACTAACTCTGTCAACGTTCCCTCCCTCCTCCTGACCGGGTGGCTGATGAGGAACATTCTGGATTGTTGGTGTTGATGGGAATCTCTTAAGGTAGCTCAGGCACGTGCCCACACTTTCCCTCTTCCCAGCTGTCTTGCACAGCGGCTCCGACCCAGGCATCTTGAGGCCCTCCAGGGCGGCCAGCCCCCTGCACCTGCCTGCTCCCTGCCACTGTTTGGTCCTCTGCTGGGTCCTCCGGCCCCTGCCCACATCTTACCTACCACTGCACAAGAGGCCTGAGCCAGCAACACCCCAAAGGGGTGTTAAAGTCTTTTTTTTTTTTTTTAACATATTTTTTATTTGACAGGCAGAGTTAGACAGTGTGAGAGAGAGACAGAGAGAAAGGTCTTCCTTCCGTTGGTTCACCCCCCAAATGGTTGCTACGGCCAGCGTGCTGCGCCGATCTGAAGCCAGGAGCCAGGTGCTTCTCCTGGTCTCCCATGCGGGTGCAGGGCCCAAGCACTTGGGCCATCCTCCACTGCACTCCCTGGCCACAGCAGAGAGCTGGATCAGAAGTGGAGCAGCCAGGATTCAAGCTGGTGCCCCTATGGGATGCTGGTGTCACAGGCAGAGGCTTACCCTGCTACACCGCAACCAGTACAAATGACCAAATATGAAGGTACTTGAGCAAGCTGGTGGGGATGGGTGCTGGACACAAAGGCTGGGATGGCCTCATCCGTGTTGGAGCACCCCGGCTTCAGTCCTGGCTCCACTTCCAAGTCCAGCTCTGCACTGACGTGCACCCCAGGAGGCAGCAAGTAGTGGGGTCCCTGCCACCCTTGTGGAAAACCCAGACTGAGTTCTTGGCCTCTGACTTTGGCCTGGCCCAGCTCCAGCTCTTTCAGGTGTTTGGGGAGTAAACCAGAGGATAGAAGATTCTCTCTCTCCCTCCCTCTCTCTCTCTCTGCCTTTCAAATAAAATGAAAATAAATAATTTAAAATTTAAAGAGTTATTTACTGGGGCTGGTGCTGTGGTGCAGCAGGTAAAGCCACGGCCTGCAGCGCTGGCATCCCATTTGGGCACCAACTCCCTGCCAATGCTCCTGGGAAAGCAGCAGAGGGTGGCTCAAGTCCTTGGGACATCTCCGTCTTCCATCCGCTGGACTATTCCCTCAATGGTCACAATGGTTGGAGCTGGGAAGATCTGAAGCCAGGAGCCAGGAACTTCCGGGTCTCCCACGTGGGTGCAGGGGCCCAGGCACTTGGGCCATTTTCCACTGCTTTCCCAGACGCATTAGCAAGGAGCTGGATCGGAAGTGGAGTGGCCAGGACTCAAACCAGTGCCCTTATGGGATGCCTGCGTCATAGGCAGTGGCTTTACTGGTTGTGCCACAGTGCTGGCCGGTAATGCACATTCTCCATGAACTTTTTGAAGACTCTGTAAGGAGAGAAACCCCCCTGAACGCATTCCCCGAGCGCTGGTCCTCCCTCACGCCCACGCCTGGGGGATCGAGAGGCGTCCTGGGCCCAGCCCACCCAGACCTTGGTTCCTGATCTTGCCCCTGCACCTCCTCCTCCCGCAGGCTGGGCGACGGACAGGGGTGAGGAGCTTGTCTGGAGGCGGGGCAGTGCCAGGGTGCAGTGGCCACATCTGGGGTGGCGAGAGCGTCTGTGCTGTGGCATCTCACGGTGGAAGGTCAAGGGAGCCGGCAGCCCAGACAGGGCACAGGGCGGCCTTGCTTTCCTAACAACCCCGCTCCAGATAACAAAGCCACTCCCACGGGCACCCAAACCCTCCCCAGCCCCCGACCCCGCCCTTGCTGCAGCAGTGGGAATTAAGGTCCCAACGCATGGGCTCTGCGTGTGTGTGTGTGTGTGTGCGTGTGTGACACACTCCAGCCACGGCGCCCGGGTCCACTCTCCGTGTGTGTGTGTGACACACTCCAGCCACGGCGCCCGGGTCCACTCTCCGTGTGTGTGTGTGTGTGTGTGTGTGTGTCTGACACACTCCAGCCATAGCGCCCCTGGGTCTGTTCTGTGTGTGTGAGACACACTCCAGCCACAGCGCCCCGGGTCCACTCTCCGTGTGTGTGTGTGTGTGTGTGACACACTCCAGCCACAACACCCCGGGTCCACTCTCCGTGTGTGTGTGTGTGTGTGTGTGTGTGACACACTCCAGCCACAGCACCCCACCCTGGCCCCTTCTCCCCGTCAGACACAGTCCTGGCCTCGTCACAGCTGTGCTCCCACGTCACTCCCAGGTCACTCAAGAGACAAAGTCCCCGCAGCAGCCCCAGAGCTCTTGGCTTCCCCAGCCTCCCCACACTCGCTCACTGCTGCAGCCACATGGCTCAGCACCGGCCGTCCCTCAGCGGTGCCCAGGGCCACTCCCTCAGGGCCTCTGTGTCCTGTCCCTAACCTCTCACCCTGCTTCCCCCGCCACACACACACAGGAGGAAATGTCCTTGTGGCAGTGCCCCTTCTCTGTGGGCAGATCCGGGGAGAACGGGTGACAATTTCCAGGCAGTTTCTCTGTGGGACTTGTCCTTGAAGGGACGGCGGGGCGGGGCGGGGCGGGGCTCAGGACAGCACAGCACTGGGGCGCTGGGTGCTGGGAGGGGCTGGGTACCAGACTCCGCTTCCTGCAGCCCAGCGACATCAGTGTAACCCCCTTTGTTTCCCAGGCTGAGCCTTCAGAGGAGGTGGCTCCAGGGCTCCCGGATGGCGGCTCTGGCCGACCGTGGTCCTCGTGTGGCTAACCCTGGGTTAACCACCGAACTGTTGCTCTCCCGTCAACCTCAGCCTCAGCCTTTGGGAAAATGGCAAGACAGCTATTGGTGTGGCTGGGCCACGTCAGGGACCAGTCAAGACTGTGGAGGGGTCTGGGACCCCCAGAGCCACCAGGTGAGCTGGGAGGAGTCTCAGAGGCGACGGCTGAGCCAGAGGTGTGAGCTCTGCTTGCTCAGCCCAAGGCCGGGGCACCCCCAGACCTGCACCAATCAAGTGTGTCCTCCGCTCTTGTGCCCGGAGGCCGCCCCTGGGAGCCCGGTGTTTAGTCAGGCTAGGCCTGGGGCGGCTCTTGCCTGGGGGCCCTGCGCAGTGGCTGTTTGGCAGAAAGATCCTGCCCAGCCCTCTCAAAGCCAGAGACGGCCCCGGAGGGCTGCCACGGAGCCCTCACCGCTGCTGAGGGCCTGGCTTCCGTCAGGTTTGGGGCACTTTCCAGAGAACTGACCAGGGTGCACAGGGTCTCGGCCTGGCACATTCAGCCCTGAGTGTTATGGGACTTAATACAGAAGCTGCCTGCGCGGTGTCTGGTGTTCACCGTGGGCCAGGGTGCTGTCTGGTGAGCAATCGTATTTTAGGGCTTTCTTGGTCCTAAACCCCCTGGCCACGGATGTGGGTTCCCATAATCCTCTCTAAACTGGCTTTGCTATCTTGCCGGTCCCTTCATTAATGAGTTTTTTAAAAAAAAAAACCAGCAAAAAACAGAAATATTTTCACTACGTACTTTATGAGAACTGTTCCTAAGTTTCTGAAAGCCAGACCTTGAACACATTCTCTCTCTCTTTCTCTCTCTCTCTCTCTCTCTCTCATCACCTTGGGAGTCCTGGGACACCTACAGAGGTTCCCTAGAGCTGACAGATGCCGAGGTGCCAGCCCTCAGCCGCGAGGGACCGAACGCCTGCATCTCCAGGCCCGAGGGCTGGGGGCAGCCCTTGGGAGTTCCCACCAGCACTCTCCTCACAACCCTGTCGCTCGCGTGGGGCAGGGGCCCATCCAAGGTCACCAGGAAGTGGTGGCTCTTCCCCGCTCCTGTCCCTTTCTGTACTTTGGAGTCAGAGCAGGCGTCTGGATCCTCCCACGAGGGGGGTGTGGCCCCCCTTCCAGCCCCGACCCAGTGCTTATCACAGGGACATCGGCCTTGAGCGTGTCACTGGGGCTGGCACCAACCAGACTTGGAACCTGCTCTGAGGCAGGGGCAGCAGGGCCGTGTGGGACAGGTACACGCTGCGGGGTGGGGGTGGTCTCAGAGGAGGCCACAGCCTGAGCGGGTCCCTGGCCCACAGACACTCGGGGGAGCTGAGCTCAGTGTGAAGTTTATTGCTGGGGCCTAGGGAGGATTTAACTGACCAAGAGCCTTCCCAAGGAGGTGTCCAGTCTCCGGCCTGGGGCCTGGCCAGGGCTGACCTTGGCCTCTGTGGTCCAGGGGAACTTCGGGCAGCAGGACGAGCCGCGCAGCCCTCCGGGAGCTGGGAGGTTGCAGGTAAAGACGCAGGGAGCTTGAGCGAGCCGTGCCCGGCAGGCGGCCCTCCCTCCCCACCTGCTGCTGCTGTGTGTGCATCTGGGACAGCATGGCCTCCTGCACGGCCAGCGCTTCCTCCTGAGCGGCCCTCACTTCTGCCCGGATGGCACTCACTTCCGCCCGGATGGCCTTGGCTCCCGCCTTCAGGCTCTCGTACAAGGAGGCAGGCTGCAACAGAGGGCGGCAGGGCCAGGCTGGGAAGCTGACCCCAGCAACGTCACCTGAGGCTGGGCTGCGAGGCGGGGTGGGGCCGAGACAAAGGCAGGGGTCCTGAGGGGGGCATTTGGTGCAGTGGTTAAGATGCTGCCTGGGACGCCGCGTCCCATACCAGGGGGAGGGCCTGGGTTGGAGTGCCAGCCCCGCTTCCGACGGCAGCTCCTTGCTAACGCACACCCTGGGAGGCCGTAGGGGGTGACTCAAGGACTTGGGTGCCTGCCACCCAGCTGAGAGACCCGGATCGGGTTCCCGGGTCCTGGCTTCAGCCTGGCCCGGTCCCGGCTGTTGCAGGCTTTGGGGGCATGGACCAGTGGATGAGAGCTCTCTCTGCCTTTCAAATAATTTTTTTTAAGGCAGGGGTCCTGGACTGAGGGTCTCACCAGGTTTTGCAGCTTCTTCTTCAGCTCCAGGTTGTCCACTTGGTTGGTTTTCAGGGCTTCTCGGAGCCTAGGGTTGAAGGGAGACCCCCTCAGCCCATCTTCCTGTGCGGGCAAATCCACGGCCCGGGAGGGGATTGCTCTCCCGGTGCCTTGTGGGAACCAGACACGCTCAGCCTGCTCTTCTCCTTCAGCAAGACGATTGCAGCCGGCTTCACCACGTGGGCCGGGCCGGGGGGTCCTCGGGGGCAGCCCCGGGGCTGCAGTCAGGCCCCCTGGAGCCAACTCAGTTGGTGTAGTTTGCGGCTGCGTGTGACTGCCAGCAGCCAGCGGCTCCAGGGCGCAGGGAGCGGCCTCCCATCCCGCCCCCAACCCAGGACCTCTGTCACCAGGTGGGCCTCCAGCCCTGGCGTGAGCACAGCGCTAAGTGTGTACGGGATAGTGCAGACCCTACCTCCCGCTCTGCCATCCAGGGAAGGGTCTGAGCCACCCTGCCAGGCCCTGACGGTTAAAGGTGGGCTTCCTTAGAGGCACGTGGCCACGCAGGGGCAAGAGAGAAATGTGTGGCAGCAGCTGTGGCCCTCGCAACGGTGGGGCTGGTGCCGGGAGGCAGGGGACCGGCTGCTGACATCGAGGTCGTGCAGGGTGGAGCAGAGAAGGTGCGAAGGAAGAGCAAATGGAGGCGGGGGGAGTCAAGAGAAGCTGCGGGTCCAGCGCCTGGCTGCACAGGGGCAGGGCCAGCCACCCCGCCCCCGCCTGGCCACTGGGCTCACCTCGCGCAGTCATCCTGCAAACACCTGATCTCCCGCGAGGTCTGCTGGGAGCCCCAGTCCTCCTGATCCAGGAACCGCTTCTCTTGGATCTCCAAGTCTCTGAGGGTAGAGGCGGTGAGGGTGGGATCAGGGGGTCTCAAGACTGGGCGAGGGTGGGCGTGGGCACAGCGTGGGGTGGGAGAAGCACCCTCAGCCCCCCAATACACACACACACAACGCAATGCGCACTCACATACACACTGGATACACACACGCGGCACAGTCAACTCGCACACCTGCTCGCACTCACACCGCCTTACGGGTCGGGGAGTGTGGGCTCAGCGGGCTCGGGCGTGTTCAGGAGCGTAAACAGGAATGTGACGGTGGGCTCCACTTCCTTGTCCGATTTTTGCTTTGAATAAGGTGACTGCAGAAAAGGTGCCACTGTGGCCGCCCTGGCACGCGGCTGCTCACCCAGGAGCCCGGGGCCTCCCACGCCCTGCTTCCAGGGGCCCTTTCCCTCTGCCCCCCACCCCACGGAGGAAGGCAGGGGTCAGAGGTGTGGAGGAGAGCCACCCAGGGGGTCTCCAGCTGGGGAATGACCCCCGGCGACCCGGGGAGCTGGGGGCTGCCCGGCGGCAAGGGTGGGGCGTGGTGCTGGGGAGGGCGGCTCCAGGCTGCTGCCTCCCTGCAGGCCCCAGTGCTGTCACCTCGGTGCTTCCTTCCACGGCAGCTTGAGCGTCCTCGGGCTTCTCAGGGGGCCGCAGAGCTGACTTGGAGTGGGCCGTTCGTCGGCTCCTGGGAGACTGAGGGAGACAGAGGCCTGGCTGGCGCCCTCCTCGGGGCAGCCTCTGGCCTGCGGAGCCCCCACGACCCGCTCTGTCCAGCAAGCCACATCCCGCAACGCCGCGGCTGACAGACGGGGCGGGTCCACTACAGGATTCCCAGGGAAATCTGAATTTCACGTGAAAACGGAATTCGTCTTTTAGTCTATCTTGTGCAAAATGACTCATGATCTGAAATCCAGATTGAACTAGGTGTTGTGTTTTTCTGCAATGCCACCAGAGCTACATGCAAACACGATTTCATGAACCGAGTTCCAAACACAAGGTGCGTGTCAGGGGAGGGATGGTGGGGGGACACCTTAGAGGAGCCCTGTAGGTGTTTAGAGACTGCCCGCCCCTCCCGTACAAGGGTCATCTGTCAGACAGCTACTGAGGAGCCAACCAAAGCACCAGCTCCCGCCCCACTGCTGCTTCTGATCCAGCTCCCTGCTAATGCCCGGGAAGGCAGCAGACGACCCAAGCGCTAGGCCCCTGCCACCCACGCAGGAGCCTCAGCCTGGCCCAGTCCTGGCTGTTGTGGCCACCTGGGGGAGTGAACCAGCAGATGCAAGATCTCTGTCTCCCTGTCGCTTTGCCTTTCAAGAAAATAAATTTTTATTTTATTTTTTAAAATTTTTTGACAGGCAGAGTTAGACAGTGAGAGAGAGAGAGAGAGACAGGTCTTCCTTCCATTGGTTCACCCCCAAAATAGCCTCTATGGCCAGTGTGCTGTGGCCAGCACATTGCGCGGATCTGAAGCCAGGAGCCAGGTGCTTATCCTGGTCTCCCATGGGGTGTAGGGCCCAAGCACTTGGGCCATCCTCCACTGCACTCCCGGGCCACAGCAGAGAGGTAGACTGGAAGAGGGGCAACCGGGACAGAATCCGGCACCCCGACCAGGACTAGAACCCGGGGTGCCGGCACCACAGGTGGAGGATTAGCCTAGTGAGCCGCCCTGCTCCACTTCTGATCCAGCTCCATGCTAATGGCCTGGGAAAGGCAGCAGCAGATGACCCAAGTGCTTGGGTCCCTGCCACCCACGAGGGAGACGCAGGTGAAGCTCCTGGCTTCCGTCTGGCCCAGCACTGGACACTGCAGCCGGAATCAGCAGATGGAAGATCTCTTATCCTCTTTGTGTTAACGCTCAAATAACTCCACCCCAGCCCCCCAAAACAGGCTCCTCCTCAGGCCACACGAGTCTGTGCCCTCCTCTTCCCACCCTCTGTGTGACCATGATGGCGCCGGCAGCATCCTGGCCAACACTCTGGAGAGCACCCGCAATGCCAAGAAGGCAGGCAAAGGCCAGCTTCTTATTCTCCGGTCACGGTCAAGTTCCTGACCATGCCGGGGAGTGTGACTGCACCGCTGTCTGGCATCACTGACGATTGACAAGTGTGACTCCGCCCCTAACCTCGGGGCACTCGCGGCTACTCACACAGAGCTCTGGCTTAAAGGTCCTGAACAGGGTGCAGGGAGTTGGGGGGGGTTGTCGGTTCCAGGGGGAGAGCGATCCTTCACTGAGCGCTGAGCACCCGGCCTGCCCCATTCCCCCTCCCTCACCCCGAGGCAGGCATTGTGATGGTACCCATTGTGCTGGTAAAGAACCCAAACACAGAATGAGTGAACTGGTCTGGGGTCCCCAGGAAACTGGCCCGGCGAGAGCCACGCCCTGCTGCATCCGCCTGCCCTCCGATGCTACTGATGCGGAGGGGGCAGGGTCTGAGGCAAGGCTGGGAGGCGTGGGCACCAGCCTGGGCCGGGACACCCTGGGACCTCAGAGGTCTGGCTGCAAACAACAGGAGACGATGCCGGCTGGGCTGATTGGAACAGAAGTTTATTGGCTGGAATTCAGTCGCAGAATCCACAGGACGCGTTCTGAAGGCAGGACTGGGACGTCGGTGCGGCCAGAGAGCAGGGCCCAGCAGGGTGAGCGGGAATCTCCACCCGGGGAAGGCGGCCAGGGCCTGAACAGCGCTGGACCTGCGACGCCCCTCCTGGGTCTTCAGTCTCCACCCTCACTCGGTGCCGCCACCTCCTGGGTCTTCAGTCTCCGCCCTCACTCGGTGCGGACTCCACCTGGCTGGGGCAGCGTGTGGCACATGGGCTCTACCACCATGATGCTGGCACTGCAGAGAACACAAGTCCCGGCTGCTCCACTTCCGATCCAGCTCCCCGCTACTGTGCACAGAGAGCAGCGGAAGACGGCCCAGGTGCTTGGGCCCCACGTGTAGACCTGGAAAAGCTCCAGGCTTCAGAGTAGCCACAGCCCAGCCATTGCGGCCCTTGGAAGATCTCTCTTTGTAACTCTTTCAAATAAATAAAAAGAAATCTTAAAAAAAGAGTCCATGTGGCTGAGCTCAGGACAGGCCCACGTCTTGGCTGTGGAAGCAGAGTGAGCGTCAGGCCCCCCGGGGAGGGGGGAGCCGGGACCTGCAGACAACCCACTAGGCGGCGGCCACGGCCCCCAAGCACCCACAGGAGCGGCGGCGCAGCAGAGGCCCCTCCCATGCGGTAGATGCGTCCAGAGACCTCTCTGCTGACTTCCAGGGAACCGATCTGTGCAGGAGGGGCTGGGCTCACCCAGAGGCCAGCGGAGGACATCACTCCAAGCCCCGCCCTGCAGGGGAGGGGGGATGAGGCAGCTGCAGGGGGGCCAGCATCCTGTCCCTTGCACGCTTGGCGCCGCCTTTGACCCAGTAAGAGAAACAGGCTGTGAGCAGGCAGAAACTCTTTAATCAGATTCGTCCTAAAGCAAAACCCTTGCCGCTGGCAGGGCCCAGCGTTCTGCAAGGGGTGGGTGCGCAGGGCCTGACGGAGCACGAAGCACTGGCAGAGGCCTGGGACGCCCGTGCCCCCCGGGCCTGCACGGCTCCGAGCACCCCAGCCACGCGCCCACCTCCCGGCCTCCCGGCGGCCAGCAGCGCCCACCTCCACCACCCTGAAACGTCAGCAGGTGCAGTGGCCTGGGGACGGGCGCTGTGGCCCAGTGGTAGGCAGGGTTGCTTGTGAAAACACCTTTTAGCAGCGTTGAGAAAGGGCAAAGGTGGGAAATTCTGCAGCGCGACGCCCCTCGCCGCTTCCACTCCTGGCCTGACTCTTGGCCGTGTCCTCAGGTGCGAGGAGGAGGAAGCTAAGCCTTCAAACCGCTCTCAAGCCCTGGCGCTGTTTGGCAAAGAAGCAACGCTTCCGAGAGCCCCCCAGGACCAGTCTTAAGACAGGCCATGGGGACTGTGCAGCTGCCCTTGCAGGAAACAGGTGTGGGCTCCCGAGGGCCCCCCAGCAGGAAGTCGGGGCCCAGGCTGGCCCTGCACAGTGGCAGCCCGGTTCCCTGGCAGCAGGAGCCGCAGCCACCAGTGGCCAAACCCTGACACACACCCTTTTGCCCCAAGCAGCTGGCACTCCTTCAACCTGGCATTTTCCAAACGTCTCAACAGTAGAACACAGAAAACACAGCTGGGCACGCAGCCCCGAGGCCGAGACCCGGAGCAGCCATCCTCCCCCAAACCGCGGAAGCCGCAGTAGGCTGAGCGTCCAGCTTCTTCCTCGAGCGTAGAGCTGCCCCACCCATCAGTCCTCTCGGGGACCATCTACAGGATCTAAGAGGAGCTACCCCAAACCAAGTCTCTACACAGGCAGGCTTGTGGCCGGAAGCAGGCCAGCAGAAGGTCACCCGGAAGGGGCAGCCTGGGAGAGGCCGCTCCCCACCAAGAGCCCCGGGGAGGATGACGACGACGAGATGGGGTGCCAGCGAGCAGCCAGGCCAGGCAGCCCGAGTGTCTTCCGCACAGCGAGGGGCTATGTACAAGGGGCGCGGGGAGTCCGGCCAGGCGCACCCCCACTCAGTTTCATTCAACCACGAGATCAAACTGCTCAGCAGCTTCGAACTCGGCATTCATGGCCGCAGCCCACTCATCCAGCTCCGACTTCTGGGGGAAGAGAAACGGGGGCAAGTGAGTGGGGAGGGGACACGCGGGCCACAGCATCTCACCCACACCCTGCCGTGCTGCCTCTCCCGAGCGCCGCAGCAGAGGCCGGCCTCCGTCTCCCGGGGCCACGGCCGAAGCCAGGCCCTCACTCACCAGGATCTGCGGCACCTTCTTCTTCTTCCGCTTCTCTCTCACAACGAGGGGGGAGATTCCTGGGAGAGCTGTATCCGGGGCCCAAGGCTTCGCGGGCACCCTGGAGGCCTCGGCTGGCTTTGAACCCACCACAGGCGAGACTCTGGACAAGTCTTCTGCCCCCTCGAAGCCAAAGCAGGAGCGGCGGCCCGGGGTGGAGGTGGAGAGGGAGCCCAGGGTGTCCAGGCGGCTGTAGGACCGCCTCACTTTCTGCGACATCTCCAAGTCCCTGGCATCCAGCTGCCCCTCCTTGGCGTTGGACGAGGTGTTCAGGGAGCACAGCACAGGAGTGGTGGCCGGCGTGCCGGGGACACTGCAGGACTTGAAGAGCTCCTCCCTGGCCGGCTCCCTCTTGGGGGGGTTGTTTTCTTTCTCCAAGAAAAAGGCAATCTGCACCCGGACAGGAGAGAGAGCACCCTCGTGACCGAGCTGGACCACTTCCGTCCAGAAAGGCCAGAGAACTTCCAGGGTGGACACAAAGATGCACGGGGCAAGCACTTTTTTTTTTTTTGACAGGCAGAGTGGACAGTGAGAGAGAGGGACAGAGAGAAAGGTCTTCCTTTGCCGTTGGTTCACCCCCCAAATGGCTGCTACAGCAGGCGCGCTGCGCCAATCCAAAGCCAGGAGCCAGGTACTTATCCTGGTCTCCCATGGGGTGCAGGGCCCAAGGACCTGGGCCATCCTCCACTGCACTCCCGGGCCACAGCAGAGAGCTGGACTGGAAGAGGGGCAACCGGGACAGAATCCGGCTCCCCAAGCGGGACTAGAACCCGGGGCACCGGTGCCACAGGCGGAGGATTAGCCTAGTGAGCCGCGGCGCCGGCCGGGGCAAGCGACTTCTAACAGCAGGGGAGGGCAAACCCTGGGCCAGCAGTTCAGGTGACCAGGTCCCACATCACGGAGCCTGCTTGATGCCCGGATCTGACCCGCCTCCAGCTTCCTGCCAGTGCAGACCCTGGGTCACGGCAGGCGATGGCTCAAGTAACTGGGTCCCTGCTGTCCATACAGAAGACCTGGACTGACCTGGCTCCCCCTTCAGTCCAACCCAGTCCTGGCCCAGCCCCGCTGTTACGGCCATCTGGGGTGTGACCCGGGGGTGGAAGATCCATCTCTGTCAACAAAGCCAAAGAGAAGAAAGGCGGTGGGGGTGGGCTCCAGGGCTCTGCAGGCCGCTGGCAGCTTGTGCTGCAGACCCCGAGGGAGCCGCGGCGGGCTGTGAGCAGGGAAGGCTTGGCCCAGAGGTCACCTCCTGACCCCCCAGCCCAGACGCTGCACCCTTTACCAGGGGACCCGTCAGCCCCGTAGTTACTCTGGCCCAGACTGCTCTCCTTCCCACCCAGCAACACGGCTGACGCTGGCGGGCAGCCGACCAGAACGGGAGCTTCCTGTGCACAGGGTCTTCACCTGTCCACGCTCTGTGCCCGCAGCAGGGCCCCGCGTGTCACGGGTGTGATGAGCACAGGCCCCGCGTGTCACAGGTGTGATGAGAGCACAGGCCCCGCGTGTCACGGGTGTAATGAGCACAGGCCCCGCGTGTCACGGGTGTGATGAGCACAGGCCCCGCGTGTCACAGGTGTGATGAGAGCACAGGCCCCGCGTGTCACGGGTGTGATGAGCACAGGCCCCGCGTGTCACGGGTGTGATGAGCACAGGCCCCGCCTGTCACGGGTGCACGAGGAGCGCTGAGTCAGCACACGGAACACCTGGCACTGGGCTGGTCTCACACAAGCGGGCACACTGGCGGTCAAGAAAGACGTTTCCCGGTGATGAGTTCTCAGGAATCCGCCCCGTGGGTGTTGGTAGAAGGTTGCTGACCAAAATGGGGATCAACCCTACTTCTTCCTCACCCCCCAGCCACGCAGCTGCCCAGGCCCTGGAAGCTCTACCCTGCCCAGCGTCCCATGCAGCTAGCACTCAACAACAGGCAAACAGCCAACTTTGGCCCAAGGGAATTACGCGAGAAAGTACAGTGTCGGGGGAGGGGTGATCCTCCTTCGCTCTCCATCTCTGGAGCCCAACCATGGCTTCCCTACTGGTCCTTCCTTGAGCCCCGCAGCGTGGCTTGGGTCCCACGAGGGCGTCTGCACCCCCTTACTGCAGGCTGCAGACGAGCCTCATGGGGACAGTGTTTGGCACTGCAAAGACACCACCTGGGATACGCCAAACTGGAGTGCTGGGTTCGAGTCCCGGCTCCGCTCCCACCGCCGGCTGCCTGCTAAGGCACACCTTGGGAGGTGATGGCTCAAGTGCTTGGGCCCCGACCACCCAAATGGGAGACCCCGGGGGAGCTGCTGGTTCCTAGCTTCAGCCTGGCTCAGCCCTGGGACTGCAGGATCAGCAGGTGAACCACTGCCTGTCTCTCTCGCTCTGCCTTTCAATCAGATAAAAGCATATTACGCAGCCAGCACTTGGTGCCCCGCTGGGAGGCCAGCACTTCGCTAGGAAGAGCCCTGGCAATCAGTTCTGCGTGACTGTGAACCCAGCGCACACGGCCCCGAAGACCTGAGAACCAACGGATGAGAAACCAGCGCAGAGAGGAGACGGCTCGGCCTCCAGGGCACCAGCCCGCCAAGCAGAGCGGTGCAAACACCGGGGCCCACGCAGCTACAGGGATCCAGCAAGCAGGGAGTCTCCGCGGCGGCGAAGCTGCTCTGCGGCCCCGGGGGCCAGGGTCGCCGGCACCAGCCCACCCGCTCGACCGCGCAGACGCACAAGCACTCACCCGCGGGCTCCTGCGAGGCGACTGGACGGCGGGGAGCTGCAGGGACGACACCAGCGGGTCACACGCCGGCCCCCCGCTGCCGCCTCCCTCACCCCTCCTCGTCCCCGGAGCCCTCACCTCCACGGCATGCGCCACGATCTTCTTCAAGACGATGGGCTTCCTGGCCGAAGCGACGTGGGGAGCCTGGGGGACAGGGGCGAGCGTGAGCGCTACGTTCGTCTAGGGGCCTCCGGGGCGGCCTCTGGGAAGCCGGGGGCTCACCTTCCGCCAGAGCTCGGGGAGGACGCTCGGGAGATCAGAGCCTGACTTCCGCTGGGACCGCTGCAGACCCTTGGTCAGAGAGGGGGCCCGGGGCCCTGGCGAGAGAAAAAAAGGCAAGCGGTAGCGGCGGGCTCCAGGCCGAGGAGCTGCAGAACAGGTTCCGGACAAGCCCTTTGGGGCGCCTCCCCGGGAGCGGCGGCGGGCAATGGCTGCTTTCCCCCAAACGCCTCGACCCCACCTCTCCCGCCTGCCCTCCGCTCACCCGAGCGTCGAGCGGCCCCTCCGGACCGCGTCCGCCTCTCAGACATGGCTACTCTCGGTCTCGACCCTCGAAGCCGCTGCCGTCCCCTGCTCGCGCCAACCGGGAGAACCGTCGGCCCCAGAAAACGTACGAATTACCCGCCCTGTCGAACAGGAAGCGGAAGTGACGCAAGGCGGGAGAGCCGCAGCTCTCGGGCTCCGCCCCCAGCCGCCTGCACCTCGCGCGCCAACAGAGGCGTGGTCTGGTGGCGTCATCAGCGCGCGTCGCACCCGGAAGAGACGTGGCAACGGAGGGATAATCGGAGAGGCTATAGGGCAGAAGGGGGCTGAGCGGGAGCTCTGGTGAGCCCAGTCTCTGATCTTCCGTGCTTCGAACCACCGCTCGCGCCCGTCGAGACCGGTGCTGCCATCGATCAGTAACTCGGAGAGCGGGGTCTGTCGAGGAGGGGCGGGGCTTGTAGGGGGTGGGGCTCCGGAGGGGCTCTGGGGGCGGGACCGGTGGTATCTGGGAGCCGCCGATGGGGGGCCCGGCTGGGGGCGGGATCCAGGAGGGATGAGGGGTCGCCGGGGGCGGGATTTATGGGGGGCGTGGCCCTGCCTGCACGAGGGGTGGCTGTGGTGGGGAATCCTGGGGTTCAGGCGCTTATGGGAGGTGTCCGGGGGGTCAGAGCGGTAACGAGCCGGCTGGTGAGAACGCATTGGCGACCACCAGAACTTGGCTTCTTACCAGCTCAGGCCCCTTCCCCAGGGCCGACCATGGGGCTTTGCAAGTGCCCCAAGAGGAAAGTGACCAACCTGTTCTGCTTCGAACACCGAGTCAACGTCTGCGAGCACTGCCTGGTGGCCAACCACGCCAAGGTGGGGCCTCCGGGGGTGCGCCTGAGCGGGTCCGGGCGGGCGGGTAGGAGCCTGCCTTCCTCCGGGCACCCTGCCCTGGGGTGGAAGCTCCAGGAGGGCGAGGAGGAGGTTGACCCAGCCCCTGGGACGGAGCGCGGTGCTCGGTAAATCTTCACCCCGGCGCCAGCTGTGCCATTTCTCTGCCGCCCCAGTGCATCGTCCAGTCCTACCTGCAGTGGCTCCAGGATAGCGACTACAACCCCAACTGCCGCCTGTGCAACACACCCCTGGCCAGCCGGGAGACCACCCGCCTCGTGTGTTACGGTGAGGCTGGGGCACCCTGGGGCGGGAGACGGCAGCCTTGGGCCCCAGGCCCTCCCCCAACAGCAGGACGGCGAGTCCCCCGAGCCCGGGAGGCCGGAACCCGGCTTCCGCGCCCCATCCGTAAGCTCAAGCACGTCATTTTCCCCTTCGAGGCCGCAGTGTCACGCCCACTGTTCCGGCTCCTAGGTCCTGCCTGCGGACCTGTGGCGGTGAGCAGTTGCCAGCCACCCCGGCACAGATTCCGAGACTAAAAGAGAGAGGAGTGGGTGTCCCGTGTGAGTTAGCCTGCAGGGGTTGGCAGACACGCGTGTCGTGACTGACCGGAGTCTGGGGCCAAGAGCCTCGGCTCCCGTTGCCAAGGGGCCAGGGCAGCGCCCCGTGCGCGTGCGTGGATTCCGCGCACACTCTTCACATGAGCGGTGCTCACTAGCACCTGTGGGCGAGCAAAGGCATAAAGGTGGGTGTAAATTCCACGTGCACACGTGTGCCTGGGCGTGTGCCGAGGGATCTCGTGTGACTGCTGTGGATCAGCCACCGGCCCAAGGCGTGTGACGAGGGCAGGCCCGAGAGCGCTCCCCGAGAGGGTGGCTGGCACCCTCTTCCCCGTCACGCCCGACCCCTGGGGCTGGCAGCGTGGTGGCAGGGGAAGGAGAGCTCCAGGCGTCCACGGAGAAGCAGCTTAGGAAGATGGATTAAAACATAAGTTCATTTTGATGCAGAAGAGCACCCCATTTTTAAAAGATTTTACTTATTTGAAAAGCAGAGTTATGGAGAGAGAGAAAAAGAAAGGCAAAGAGATCTTCCATCCGCGGGTTCACTTCCCGAACGGCCGCAACAGCCCGGGCTGGGCCAGGCTGAAGCCAGGAGCCAGAGCTTGCTCCGCGTCTCCCACGTGGGTGCAGGGGCCCAAGGACCTGGGCTGTTCTCTGCTGCCTTCCCAGGCCATAGCAGGGAGCTGGATCAGAAGTGGAGCAGCCGGGACTCAAACTGGTGTCCATGTGTGATGCTGGTGCTGCAGGGGGCGGCTTACCCCGCTATGCCGTGGTGCCAGCCTGAAAAAAATTTCTGAGATCCATGCATAGGAAGAGCCTTTAAAAAGTTCATGAAAAATGCATATTATGAGAAAACTATTCATGGGTTTCAAAAATCTTAGTACCAAAATAAACATACCTTTAAATTTTTATTTTATTTTTAAATATTTACTTATCTGAAGCCGGCGCTGTGGCTCAATAGGCTAATCCTCCACCTTGCGGCGCCAGCACACCGGGTTCTAGTCCCGGTTGGGGCGCCGGATTCTGTCCCGGTTGCCCCTCTTCCAGGCCAGCTCTCTGCTATGGCCAGGGAGTGCAGTGGAGGATGGCCCAGGTGCTTGGGCCCTGCACCCCATGGGAGACCAGGAAAAGCACCTGGATCCTGGCTCCTGCCATCGGATCAGCGCGGTGCGCCGGCTGCAGCGGCGGCCATTGGAGGGTGAACCAACGGCAAAGGAAGACCTTTCTCTCTGTCTCTCTCTCTCACTGTCCACTCTGCCTGTCAAAAAAAAAAAAAAATTTACTTATCTGAAAGGCAGAGTTACGCAGAGAGAAAAGGAGAGGCAGAGAGAGAGAGAGAGAGAGAGAGACAGGTCTTCCTTCCGCTGGCTCCTTCCTCAGATGGCCACAACGGCTGCATTGGGCCAGGCTGAGGCCCGATGCCAGGAGCTCCCTCTGGGTCTCCCACATGGGGGCAGGGGCCCAAGCACTCGGGCCGTCTTCCACTGCTTTCCCAGCTGCATTAGCAGGGAACTGGATCAGAAGTGGAGCAGCTGGGGCACGAACCCGCACCCATATGGGATGCCGGCACAGCAGACGGCAGCTTAACCCACCGTGCCACAGTGCCAGCCCCTGTTTTATTTTATTTATTTGAAATACAGAGAAAGAGGATCTTCATCAACTGGTTCACTCCTCAAATGCCCACAACAGCCAGGACCGGGCCAGGCTGAAGCCGGGGGTCGGGCGCTCAGTCTGGGCCCCCGCATGAGTGGCAGGGACCCCAGTGCTCCAGCCACCACCTGCTCCTTCCCAGGGGCACAGTCACAGGAGGCCGGGTCAGAAGCCGAGCCAGGGCTTCTGAACTCGGACACCGCAGCACGGAGGGGCGTCCCGCCCGGGTCTCTGTGCCGAGCCTCCCGTGATTCCACTCTCCTTGTGTGTCTCCGTTCATCCTCACACTGAGCTGGGGGCTGCTGCTGCCCAGGAGCCCAGGTGTCTTCCTTATGTCTCTTCTTCCCTATCTCTGTGTCCTAAGATCTCTTCCACTGGGCCTGCCTCAACGAACGGGCCGCACAGCTACCCCGAAACACAGCGCCCGCCGGCTACCAGTGCCCCAGCTGCAATGGCCCCATCTTCCCCACAGCCAACCTGGCTGGCCCCGTGGCTTCCGCCCTGAGAGAGAAGCTGGCCACGGTCAACTGGGCCCGGGCAGGCCTGGGCCTCCCTCTGGTGAGCCCCTCTGCGCGCTGCTTGCCCTTGGCCCAGCCTGAGCCGCACGGGTGGTGGGGACAGCACGGGGCGGCCCTGACACGGCTCCTCGCTGCAGATCGAGGAGGTGGCGAGCCCAGAGCCCGAGCCTCTCAGCGCCTCCGACTTCTCCGACTGGTCCAGCTTTAACGGTGAGTGGCAGCCCCCAGCCCGCCGTTGGGTCCTGGCCTCCCGGCTCTGCTGACACCCTCCCCGCCCACAGCCACTGATCCCATGAGACAGGAAGAGACGGACAGCGCTTCTGCTGCCCAGGCCTTCTACAGCCAGCCCCCCCGGCCGCCCGCCTCCCCAGGCAGGCCCGAGCAGCACACGGTCATCCACATGGGCAGCCCCGAGCCTTCCACTCACGGTGAGCCAGACACGAGCAGAGAGGGCGGGTGGTTTGTGGGCCGTGTGGCGGGAACTCGGGGTCCCAGAGCGACCCTTCCTCGCACCCGGCACAGACGTCACCTCCCCGATGCCGAGGCCCCGTCAGGGCCCCTCAGCCCCACGGGGCTGTTGATGCTGGCGATTCCTCCCTGCAGCTCCTAGGAAGGTGTACGACACTCGGGATGACGAGCGGGCACCAGGCCTGCACGGGGATTGCGACGAGGACAAGTACCGGCGCCGGCCCGCCCTGGGCTGGCTGGCCCAGCTGCTCAGGTCTGTGGGGTCAGGCAGGCCGTGGTGGCACGAAGGGGAGGGGAGGAAGTTGGAGGCAGGGTCTTGCGGGCTGTGCAGCGGCCTCGGCTGGCAGTAGGAGCGTCGCTGAGCCCCTCTGTGGGCTCTCCCTGCCTCCTGCACTGGAGGTGTGGCCGTGGGCTCTGCACAGCCGGCTCCTGCCCTGTGTGCTCTCCCCATGCCTGACGCATTCCTGGCTCCGGAAGTCAGGGGCCACAGGCCGATGACGGCAGGGACGGGAAGGTCAGCCCCAAGGCATGGATCAGGAGACCGCGGTGGTGATGGCGGAGCAGGGCTGCTCTCGGGGTCGGGTGACGGGGGCTGGCAGCCTGACCCGACTTTCCCTCATCCCCCAGGAGCCGGGCTGGGTCTCGCAAGCGGCCGCTGACCTTGCTGCAGCGGGCGGGGCTGCTGCTGCTGCTGGGGCTACTGGGCTTCCTGGCCCTGCTCGCCCTGCTGTCTCGCCTGGGCCGGGCTGCGGCCGACAGCGACCCCAACCTGGACCCGCTCATGAACCCCCACGTCCGTGTGGGGCCCTCCTGAGCCCTGCCTGTGGCTTGGCCAGCCTAGGTCCCGAGGAGGGGACGCGGGGGAGGCCTGGGGCCTCTCCTCTGCTCCTCTCCTTGAGCGCGAGACACTAAGACCCCAGGCCCAGAGGAGAGTCCAGCAGAGCAGCTGGAGGCCGGGCCTGGCGTCCTCCACGTAGGTCAAGTCCCCCGGGGCTCCAGCCTCCCACCTCCCACCCTGCCAAGGAGCTGACAGGTGGAAATAAACAACAGACTTTATTAAACGCCGAATCAGCCTCTTCCTTGTCCCTTGCCAGCTCATCCCCGGCCCCAGGCCTCAGTGGCTCTCCTCCCGGTACTGGATGGCCAGAAACTCCAAGGACAGGCGGTTGAAGAACATGGCTCCATTGAGCACTGGGCAGAGAGGGCCGCCGTCAGCCTCCACAGCCCCGTGCCCTCCTCTGCCCCCTCCTCCCGGCCCCCACCCCCAGCACTCACTCAGGACGGTCAGGGCGAAGCACCGGAGGAACTTGTCGCTTGTCATCTCCGCGTAGAGGGACCCGATGGCGGCCCAGCAGATGCTGATCACCTGGGAGAACTGTAGGCCCACCCAGTGGGGGAGTGGCCCCGGCCGCCTCGGCGGGGCCTCCCCAGCCAGCCCTTGAGCCCCCGCCCCAGCCCCACCATCAGGACGACCGTGTAGTGGAAGCTCATGCGGTCGTAGTGGTGGGTGATGCAGAAGTTGTTCACGTCGCTGAGGAAGACGCCCAGGTTCAGGAAGAAGAGCACCAGGGCGGCCACGGTGAGCATCATGCCTTGCGGGAAGAAGAGCACAGCGACACGGTCCTGCCAGCGCATCCTGGCGGCTGCCGCGCCGGCTCACGCCACGCCGAGGTGCCGGGAAGGTGGCAGGCCCGCCTGGCTCTGCGGTGCCCCGTCTGGGATCGCACTGGGATTCTAGAACCAGGACGACACTGGGGAGGACGAGGTTCCGGAACACTGGCCAAGCCCAGTAAATACGAGTATTTCCGGGGTGGCTGGGGGAGAGGGGTGGGCAGAGGCCACGGGGCTGGTGCGGGCGGTGCCTGCCCCAGCCCACCCTCAGTCCCTGTGTGCTGCATCACCGCAGCCCCTCCCAGGACAGAGGCTGGGCTCCTTCCACACCTGAGGACGGGGTGGGGGAGGGGCTTGCTCAAGGTCCGCAGCAAGTCCTGGCAGGTGAGAGGTTAGGCCGCAGGTGGCTGGTGGGAAGGCAGGACGCACGTGCCAAGTGTTTGCTCCACGGCGGGGCTGAACAAGGGGAGGACTAACGTTGCCCTGCGCTGTCCTGGACCCCCGGCGCGCTCGCCCCAGCTGCGGCCCAGAGCAGCTGGCTCTGCATCCTCTCCCGGCTGTTCCCGCCCCCCTCTGCCGTGCCCCGAGTCCCATGAGAACACTGGGCCGGCAGCCTGAAATCCAAGTTCCTCCTGTGTCCGTGGTGCACAGGAGAGTGGCTGAAGCCCTCGCAGCCGATGAGGGAGGGAGGCAGGACTGAGCTGAGCTCCGATTCCTCCTGCAGCTGTGTTGGGTGAGTGGGGGCGGATGCGAGCCAGCAAGAAACCTTAACTGCACATGTGGAAGAGGTAACAGGGCTGTCAACAAGATAAGCCAAAACCAGCCAGGAATGGCCTGGGGGCACGGAAGCTCCCAGGTGGAGAAGAGGAAGGAGGAGGAGGGAACCTCAGCTACTCCGTCGCCTCTGCCACCCGCCTGTCCCAGAAGTTAGGTCCCAGATTCGGCCAGGACCTGAAGTCTCCAAGCAACAGCAGTACAACCCCCCCAACCCCGTCCACGCCTGCTGCCCGGTCTGCCCCCGACCACAACCACCCCTCAGCCCACCCTAACCACGCCCAGTGCCCAGCTGTGCTCCCACTGTGGAAACAACGACTCGTACCTGGTTACTTACATGACCACCAATGAACAACGATGCGCTACCATCCCCAGGTCGAGAGCATTCCAGAACTAACCCGCAGGCAAGTGCATGGACAGTGGTTGAGGTGCCCCTGGGGCACCCCCGTTCCACGCTGGAGTGCCTGCGTTCCAGTCTGGGCTGCGCTCCACTCCAGCCTCCTGCAGGCACATGCCCAAGGAGGCGGCAGGCCATGGCGCAAGCACGTGGCTCTCTGACCTCCATGTGGGAAAGCTGCTTGGAGTTCTGGGCTCCTGGTTTCCGCCTGGCATCTGGGGAGTGAGCCGCTGGTGAGCCTCTGCCTTTCAAATTAAAAAAAAAAAAAAAAAAAAGGAAAAAGGAACAAATAAGCATTGCTCAAATAAAATTTTAGGCCGGCGCTGCGGCTCACTGGGCTAATCCTCCGCCTTGCAGCGCTGGCACACCGGGTTCTAGTCCCGGTCGGGGCTCCAGATTCTGTCCCGGTTGCCCCTCTTCCAGGCCAGCTCTCTGCTGTGGCCCGGGAGTGCAGTGGAGGATGGCCCAGGTGCTTGGGCCCTGCACCCCATGGGAGACCAGGAAAAGTACCTGGCTCCTGCCTTTGGATCAGCGCGGCGCACTGGCCGCGGCGGCCATTGTGGGGTGAACCAACGGCAAAGGAAGACCTTTCTCTCTGTCTCTCTCACTGTCCACTCTGCCTGTCAGAAAAAATAAATTTTAACTAATACACGGATATGTTCACAGGCGATTTGCACAGTGCACAAGCTCCCCCAGAAGAAATGTAACAGCTCCTGTCCTGCACCCCACTCAGACAACCCATGTGGCCTCTTTCTGGAATGACACACGCCTCAATGTACAGATCCATGTGTCATCCTTTAAAATCCACTTTTTAACAAGTTAGGAACATGACGTGTTAGTAAAGGCTGACCGTGAACACTGACTGACTCGTCAGGAACGTCAGTACACTGGCAATGCGCCTTGAGGGGCTGGCTGTGGCTAGGCAGTCATTTGTTTTCAAACTGTATTAAAATTTTTGTATTTTCATTTATTTGAAAAGCAGAAACCGCTATCTTCCATCTGCTGCTTCACTCCCAAATGCCCCACAGCAGCCAGGACCGGCCAGGCAGAAGCTGGGAGCCAGGCCCTCAGCCCAGGTCTCCCACACGGTGGCGAGGGTCCGGCTACTTAAGCCACCATCGGCTGCCTGCCAGGGTTCACAGCGTGGAGCTGGATTGGAACTCAGACCCAGGTGTTCTGATACAGCATGGAGGCATTCCAACGGGTGACCCAACCACTGTACTGAGTGCCTACCCCTAAATTTTTAAAACATTTTTTATAAGAGATTATTTATTTGAGAGGTAGAGCTACATACACAGAGAGGGAGAGACAGAGAGAAAGGTCTTTCATCCACTGGTTCACTCCCCAAATGGCCCCAACAGCTGGAGCTGAGCTGATCCGAAGCCAGCAGCCAGCAGCCAGTAGCCAGGAATTTCTTTCAGGTCTCACATGCCAGTGCATGGGTCCAAGAACTTGGGTCATCTTCTACTACTTTTCCAGGCCGCAGCAGAGAGCTGGATCAGAAGAGGAGCAGCTGGGACTTGAACTGGAGCCCATATGGGATGCCGGCACTGCAGGCAGCAGCTTTACCCAGTACACCACAGCACCAGCCCCTACATTTTTTTTTTTTTAATATTTATTTGAGAGGAAGCGAGACAGAGATCTCCCATCCACTGGTTCATTCCCAAAATGCCTGTAAAGCCAGGAGCTGAAACCCCGTTCAGATGTCCCACATGAGTTGCAGGAACCCAACCACTTGTGCCATCACCTGCCTCCCAGGGTGCGCATTAGTGGGAAGCTGGAGATAGGATGGAGCCAGGGCCTGAACACAGGCTTTGTGATGTGGGATGTGGGCTCTCCAAGCAATAGCATCTTAAGTGCTAGGCCAATGCGCATCCCTAGATACCATTAAAGACAATGATAGAATGTGTCCCTGGGCCAGCACTGATACAACATGTTAACCCGCGACTCCTGTGAGTGCCGGTTCACATCCTGGCTGCTGCACTTCTCGTCCAGCTTCCTGCTAGTGTGCCTGGGAAGGCAGTGTGAGATGGCCCCCTCTGCCACCCACCTGGAGAGCTGGGTGAAGTTCCTGGCTCCCAGCTTCAGCCTGGTCCAGTCTCAGCTGGTGGAGTCATTTGGGAGTGAACCAGTGGATGGGAGACCCCCCCCCCATCCCTCTTCCTTTCAAATAAATAAAGAACAGGATTTCTAGATGAGATACAAAGCCAGTTGATATCCTATAGAACAGTAAAAATTATAGCTTTCGAGGCCATTTTTATTCTTTATTATTTTTTTTAAGATTTATTTATTTACTTGAAAGTTAAAGTTACACACAGAGAAGGAGAGGCAGAGAGAGAGAGGGAGGTCTTCCATCTGCTGGTTCACTCCCCTGACTGCAATGGCCGGAGCTGCACTGATCTGAAGCCAGGAGCCAGGAGCCTCCTCCATGTCTCCCACGCAGGTGCAGGGGCCCAAGGACCTGGGCCATCTTCCACTGTTTTCCAGGCCACAGCAGAGAGCTGGATCGGAAGTGGAGCAGCCAGACTTGAACAGTGCCCATATGTGATGCTGGCACTGCAGGCTGGGGCTTTAACCCACAGTGCCACAGAGCCAGCCCTGGCCACTTTTTAAATACATATATATATATATATATATATATATTTGAAAAGTTACAGAGAGAGATGAAGAGACACAGAGATCACCTGTCACTCCCCAAATGTCTTTAGTGACCAGGGCTGGGCCAGGTGAAGCCAGAGCCTGGAGCTTCTCCGGGTCTCCCAGGGGGTGCAGGGCCAGTCTGCGGCCTCCCAGGTACATTAGCTGCCCCAGAAGTTGTGCAGCCAGGACGTGCACCAACCAGGATTCCAGTTACAGAACGCACGTGTCCCAGCGGTGGCTCAACCAGCTGCCCCACACCTGCCCCCTCAGCAAACGTGTTCTGTAAGAGACCGGCTAGTAAATCGTTTAGGCTGTGCGGCCATACGGGCTCTGTGGCAACTGCTCAGCTTTGCTGTCGCAGGGCACAAGCAGCCACAGATGATACGTAAACAAATGAGAAAACTTTTTAAAAAAGCATTTATTTATTCGAAAGAGTTAGAGAGAGAGAGCCTTCCATCCACTGGTTCACTCCCAGGCTAGCCACAACAGCAGGAGCTGAGCCCATCCGAGGCCTGCACCAGGAGCTTCCTCCGGGTCTCCCACGCAGGTGCAGGGGCCCAAGGACTTGGGTAAGCAGCCACTAGTAATGCAGGCCAGCATCCCACATGGGCCTTTCAAATCAACCAATCTTTAAAAAAAAAAAAAAAAAAAAAAAAGTTCAGCGCGTTAGCTCGCTGGGCACGTGAGAGCAGCCCGTGCGCGGCAGGACCCTTAACAAAGTCCGGGCCCTGCCCCCAGCGCCTGTCATGTCTAAGGCTACGCAGAGGAGGTCCTTTCCCCCATCCCAAATCACTGCACCCCAGTCCGACTGGCGTGGATCCTCGCTCTCCAGCGCTGGGACAGCCGCCCCCGCCCACGCCGAGGGCCCGGGAAGCAGCCGCACCCCCCCCAGCTCCCCGCTCAGCACAGCCCCCGGTCACGGGAGCTCCGCCGAGCCTGCCTCCCAAGCGCGACGCGATGGGGGCTCTCGGAAGTGTGCAGCCGCAGGGCCTCCCGAAAAGACGCCGGGGGCTTCCGCAGCGCGCCCCGCTGGAGACCGGCGCTGCAGACCCCGAGGCGAACCGAGCCCCCACCCCGCAAAGAGGCGGCGGCCCCGCGGCCCCGGCCCTGCGGTCCACGCCCGTCCACCGCGTCCCGACCAGCACGGCCGCACCCCCCAGCCGGCCCACAAACCCCTCCCCCCAGGGCCGCCCGGAACGCCTTCCCGCCGGACAGGTGAGCCGGAACTCGCGTCTCGCAGGACCCAGGGCGGCGGGGGGACGCTTCAATGGACGGACCGCCTCGTTTCCGCGAGCACTTTATGGCTGCCGGAAGTGGTTCTTCCTCCCGGTCTGCTTCCCAGCCGCAAGCCCGTGGGCTGCAGTCGAAGCGATGGCGGCTGCTGCCGCCGGCCCGGGCCCGGGGGACTCCCCCGAGGGGCCCGAGGCGGAGGCTCCGGAGCGGCGGCGGAAGGCGCACGGGATGCTGAAGCTTTACTACGGCCTCTCGGAGGGGGAGGCCGCAGGGCGCCCCCCGGGACCGGACCCCCTGGACCCGACTGACCTCAACGGGGCTCACTTCGACCCGGAAGTATATCTGGACAAGGTGTGTGGGCGGGGGAGGGGATCTGGCCCCTGAGACTTTATGGGACCCCCAGCTCTGGCCTGTGGGGGAGGGGGGCGCAGGGCTTCCGAAGAGGCGGCCGACCCTCGTTCGGGCAGTAGGGGCGGAGGCGGAGTCTCAGGAAACGTGGGCGGGTTTGGGCTGGCCTGAGGCGACGCGGGGTCCGAGGCCTGAGACTTGTTTTGGTGGGCAGGGGGCGTGGTCCAGGCTGTGACGTGTGCACTGCCGAGAATGGACCGGGCCCGAGGGTTTCCCACGTGCGGGTCACCCCCGCGCCGTGCCTGGAAGTCCGCACCGGGGGTGGGCGAGCCTGGGGACACGGGCGCCTCCCTGCCCAGCGCACTAACCACCCACCTCCTGCAGCTGCGTAGGGAGTGTCCCCTGGCCCAGCTGATGGACAGTGAGACGGACATGGTGCGGCAGATCCGGGCTCTAGACAGCGACATGCAGACCCTGGTCTATGAAAACTACAACAAGTTCATCTCAGCCACAGGTGATCCCCAGTTCCTCCTGGAGACCCAGAGCCTCCGTGGTCAGACCACCGTGGAGGTCGAGGTGTCCGAAGGTGGTTTCAAAGACCGAAGGGGAAAGAGAGAGAGATGTTCCAGTCGGTGGTTCACGCCCCAAATGGTGCAACATACAGGGTTGGGTCAGGCAGGAGCCGGGAGCTTCTTCCAGGGCTCCCACGTGGGTGCAGGGGCCCGAGGGCTTGGGCCATCCTCCACTGCTGTCCCTAGAGCAACAGTAGGGAGCTGGACCGGAAGTGGAGCAGCCAGGATTTGAACCGGGGCCCAGATGGGGTGCCGGTGCCATCTCAATCTCTAGTCCAAGAGGTGCAGGGCCCGGGCCGCGTGATAGCGTTGGGCCCAGCTGTGCTAGACCCTGGAGGCAGCCGTGGCTGCTCTGAGCGCCTGCAGCGCACGTGACCTCTGACCCTGCCCAGCCGGCCTGTTGCTCCTCCTCTGACCTGGAGCAGGGGCAGTGAGTGGGTGCTGCTGCCTTGCCCAA